ACTGGTGGGCATTGTTGATATGAGATTATTTTCCAGGTGGTGTCTGAGTCCTTAAGAAGGAACGTATTTATTTACTTTTAGAAACTTCTTTACGCATAACTGTAAGCTCTGTTTGCTTACTGCGATGGGCATCAAACAATTCTGAGTTAAGCACGGCCTACTCGACGCCTCCGTAAATACACCTATGCAAGTCTGATGAAAAAACACTACATACTAATATAATCAAATAAATATGATCAAATCGATTGATGCGCTCACAAGAACGTTAACATTTGACAACGCCGTAGACTACTCCACCTGGGACTATTCGTATTCTGAGCAAGTAATCGATACCTTTTAGTAGCACACTATCAAATATACAACGCGTAACAGAACACCTTTAATATGAACATAGTCATGCTAAAATACAGCGCAGATACGAAATAAATATAGAATTTTTCCATTTATCTTTAAACTAGTCATACGAGTTACTGCTGTTAATTTTATTATTAGATTATTTTGAATATATTTTCAAATAGATATTTGAATGTAATATACCGTTTAGAATTATGATTATAAACGACCCATGTCGTAAGAAACAACCCATGGGTTGTTTCTTTTTCTTTTTATATACATCGATCCTGGCTGACAGCGAAAAGTTTTAATTTTAGAACACATTTACAACCAAATTAATCCGAGGCAAAGGCTTGTTGGCAAATGTTTCGTTGAATTCAGAAGTGCTCGACGAAATGTAAGCAAGTTGAATGTTACTACGTTCACCACAACGACCACAGTCGACAATGCCCCTGATTACCCTATCTGAGATTACAGACCGTATCTTTTTAGCGCATACTGTAACACTTATGCCTTTAAATGCCTCATTACACTTATCAGTGCCCTGTATATTGTTGCATGTAGGATAAACAAACTAGAGAACTGAACTCCAATGTGACCGATAATCTCTAGCTGTTTTTAAACAAAAATCAGTCATCATGTGCCAAGTTGTATACGACTATATGCTGATATATGCAGCGTCAGCATCATCAGCGTTTTGCTATTGATACAACCCAAACCCCACTGCTCGACATGAGCAAGAATTTTAATTTACTATTAAGTACCCCTAAATAGGATTGCATTTCGAATTTTCCTGGGTTTGGAAAGGCGTAATGATATAATTTATTTTTTTCTGTCACCACATGGAGATCCACTTTTGCTGCCAACAGCTGGTAAGTAGCGTCGGCAAGCCAAAGATATATAACGGCATATTATACAAACCATGTTTATTATATTACTTAGTCGGATTATTTAAACTAATTGACTGAATAAAATAAGTTTGATTACGTTCTTTAATATTTTTATTCATGTTATACTATTATTATGTAATTAAGTAATGTTTTTCTTAAATAATTGACATTTAAATTCTACAAAAAAAGATAAAATTAAATTATTGTAACATTTGTTTTTCAACATTTGCAAGCTTGATCTAAGTAGATTTTGTAAGGTACTTTTAATTTATAAGATCTAATGTTTTATACCCAGAATCAGAGCAAATAAAATTATTATTATTCATAGATGTATTACAATGCATTACGTACTGATAGACTGACAATGCAATCACAAAAATGAGACAACAAAATGGTTACAGTAGTACGCCTGTTTTATAAATGTATGCATGTGACAGGTCTACGTTGAGAGGTTTATGTGGTATTAAAGTTGCGAAAAGCAAAAATTCATCAGTCAGTATTTGTTATAATTTCTACTACAATTCGTAATCGTTAAAAACTTTATTTGGATTAAATTGTTTTTGTACCAATTCTTGCATAAAATATTTCAGATTTTTCTATAATATACATTTAAAGCAAAATACGTGAAAAATATGCTATCTTGTAGTTATTTTTTTTTTTCTAATTTTGCTTATGTCCAGGTATAGCACACCTTATTATAAATACATTCTCGTGAAATTAATCCAAAACGTAAAAATATTTAGAACTTGTTTTGTTCATACTCCCGGCAAATCAGTTTCGAGCTTATATTGTATGGGTGAGTATTCTATTTATCTATCTCGCTCTAATATATATGTTATTATGTTTTCTCTCTTTTACATTGCCAATCTATGTAATTTATAATCTAAGATACAATCCTCCAATAAGCGCAATCTTCTAGACTTTAGTAAAAGTGGCATCCATCGAGTAAACACAACACATTTAAAGTTATGACTCAATCTAGGGGAATCGTTGTGCGCTCGTTATTCTGTATAGGGACGCGACGTGGCTTTAGTATAACCTCTACATCCTTGCCGGTATTATAAATATGAGAGCGAGTTTGTTTATTTGTTACATCCTGGCGCCTCAAATAATCATGAAATTCGGTATAATCTGGTTCAACTTAGTAAAAAGGTAAACAGGTTTCGTTGAAATTATTATAGAAGCACTCTCTAAATGAAATTATTAGTAACAAATCGTAACCAATAATCCACTTTTGTACTATTAAACGTTAGTAGACTACCTTATGGTAGGGTCGTCTATTCGTTTATTTTACATTTTTATTGTAATCTATTGAAACACACTATGTACATCTAATATTTGGGATAGACAAGAACAGGCAAATTTTTATTATTACATTTATTATAACTACTATATTCGTCGCTTAGATTTCAGAAGTAGGAGAACTAATGAAATAGACTACTCCCAGGTGATAATATCAAGTAAAAACATACACTTTTTAAGTTATACTTCTAAGAATACACAGCTATTAAGCCACTCCCAATTTGATGCAGTTTCTGCAAAGTTACAAAAATTATTGTTTTGGCATCTATTACTCTTATTAAGATCCCTTGTTTTACAAACCTGCTAAAAATAAGAAGATTCTCAATTCGATTGCATTTTTTTTACGTTTGTTCCTTCGTAACTCCGTCAGTTATAAACCGATTTGAAAAAAATTTATTTATCTAAAAGGAGATACTTACAATTTCGTCTCATAGAAATTTTATCCAAATCGGTGTAATAGTTTAATTTTTAAATCAAAATAACTGGTTTTGCCTCAATGAAAGTCGTTTTTTTTTGTGAAATAATCCTATATGACATAATATCAGTAAAATTAGTATTTCATACATACACGATTGATAACAATTATAAATACCCAATATTCCTGTCGATTGGGCAACAAAATCAGTTAATATACGTAGAATAGTTCTCTTTATATCAAATGGCAGGTTAAGTATCACCTCTCAATTTTTATCTTCTAGTTTTTTCTTTGAGTCTTTATTCTTTTTTACACTTTATTTCAATAAAATATCGACTTAATAACGACCAATCGGTTTCAAAAGGAAGTTTACAATTCAACTATAGTTTTTCATATTTATTTCAGACCTTCACATTTTCTAAAAAGATTTCAGTGATTTTTATTGTCCACTTCTTTTTTCTGTTTGAGTCTAACTTTCAAATTTAGTAAAGTATAAGGCAAAACTAAAGATTTTGTTAATGGAGATACGGTTTTTACGATATTGAAACTTTTATTATTGAATCCTTTCTTGGATTTGGTCTTTGTTAATTTATTTTTGTTTTTACAATATATTAGTGTTTCATGCAAAAGCTACTGGACTGATTATGGAAATTTGGTCACAATGAATCCATGAATTTATTATTATATTAAGGTAAAAGATTACAGAAAGTTTAAAAAAATTACTCCATAAAGGTATAAATTTTTATTGTATATTGTTAAGAACTATTAAACATTAAATCGTGGAAAAAATTAAGATATAAATAAAAGGCGAGCAAAATTAATATGGTGTAAGTTCTTTATCTCCTGTCCCATGGGTGTCGTATGGCGTCTAAGGGAACTTAATGATTGAAGGACAGACAGTAGCGTCCCTATTAAAACATCAAAACCTAACTGCGGTTACCAACCCGCCTGAGAAGCGTGGCAACTACTGGCAAACTCCTCCTTATGAATGAGGCCACGTTCAGCAGTGGACAGGTAACAGTTAATATGACAATAAAGAAGTTTTTTACACGTGCAATCATAGGTATATATATTAAAAAATATCATCTAATTTTTTAATTAAATATATACGTACCATGTCTTTATATATACGTACAATGTAACTCCAAAAGTCATTGACATACATTATAAAATCTACTTTACACAAAAAAACCGAATGGTGATGGTTCGAACTCGGAAGTAAGCATATATAAATGAATTATAACTAAAATATATATTGACGTCATTAATAGTTATATATTATATTTATAGATATTGGCTTTTGAATTTGAACTCTGTACCTAATCTAACCCCTTATGAATGATAGCGTTTCTTAAATGAATATGACGGATATCATTGAGGAGCAGAAAATTAAAAGGTTTCTTTCCTGAGGTACCACCGAACTACCGGTCCTGCCTATTCATTTCTACCATGGATCAGCTAAGCGTGCTTTGGTATATTTATGTTTGGAGGCATCAAAGCCAATATATTTGCTGACAACAGAAGCTCAAAACCTGTCCTTAAAAATAACAAAATATGGGTGAAAAGTTGGCACTTTCCATCAGACTTTTCCGTTAAGCTACTTGTTTGTTTACTATTTCTATTAGCGTAAAAATAATACCTACTGAGGTTAATAATATCTGAACTACTTAAGAATTAAACAAAAATCCGTAAATTACATAGTCGGTTTAAAAAATTAAAGAGAACATAAAGTAATAAAAGGGCTGAAATCTCGTTAAGCTTTTTAGACTTTTATGCGAAAACGCTGAAAGTCACAGTCGTTAAATACTTTAGAATACAAACGCTATGAAAAACACGGGATACGTATGTGAATTAATGTGATACGAATAAATAAATTTTTAACCGCTAAATCCTACCCTAAAAACAGGGCAATAAATGGCACTCGTTAATAAACACGCAAAAAACAAGGTCACTCGCGTGACCGCGCGATTCAAAATGTTATCGCTATTAAAGAGTGCAGAATAATAAATATGATAAAATTCGCACTGGCAGCCACTAATAGAGAATACAGTGGAACTTACCTGAGGTTCACGGCGCCTCCATGACTTAACAGGTGGCCCTTGCAACAAGTCGTGCGGTGCGCGCCACAGGTCGCGAGCGTGCTATACTGCCGGCAGTCCAGCGGCGACACGAGGACCGCGAGCGATCGACGCACGCGCGACCAACACCTCTCTCCCCCCATCGATTTTCGATGTACGCCGCCTAAGGCACGGTATTTACTAATGCAGAGAACCGCCGGCCCGGGTTCCCCTTCATAACACTTTTCTCTAATTTAGAGGAAACTAGCAAGCGTAGCGGTTACGATGCCGCCCAAACGAGCGGTAGCGTAATCGAATTCCGATAGGCTGCTACGAGTCGGCGACGTCACATGGCGCCGCCAGTGCGAATCCCACGCGCGTTATATGGACATAAACTTTAAGTAAACTTGTTAGCTTCCAAGTTACATGGACATCGGACACCACTTGTTAACACTTCTGGCGTTAGATTGAAGGCATGCTAAGGGTGGTAAACTACAAACTTTTACTGAAAAATAGATATTTACCAATTATTAAAAATTATTCTTAAGGATGATATAAAGTTCTCCTGTTTTTTAAATTCTTTAATTTATTCTCTATATTATATATTTCGTACATTTCATCAATTGAAAGCCCCTTCACTATTAGGTACATTGCAATACCGAATATCCTAATCCTACCAAATATTTACACTAATAAGTATTATAAAAATGAAAAAAAAAAAAATGTTTCTAATGTATAAACTAGAAAAATAGTTAATCGATTATTTAAATTCTTTCATCTGTAAATAGCTACCTTACCATACCAGCTACATAGGCTGTATTTTATTTAAAAAATCCGTACAATGCCGATGCGAGTCGCTAGTTATACATACATAAATATGTTTATTTATTACATCGGGCGCTTGTACGACTCGACTAATGGTCATGAAATTTGCCACACAGAAGAAATTTGCTACTTTTTCCGGTCACTCAATATTTCCCGATCACTAAAGAAGAATCACGAGTATATTAAATACTTCAAACCATGTTTATCACTATCCATTATCCAAACACCAAATACACCAAATTATAATAAAAAAAATTGAAAGTGTACATCACGGTACATTTCGGTAGAATGTTCCCAGTATCCTGAGTTATTTTTATTGGTCGTCTAATATTCTGTTTGAAGCAAAAGGTTTGACATAACACCAATACAATACCCTCCCAAAATAAACAGGATATAAAACTTCTATTTAACACAAACATGAACGGATATAAATCCATTAAAGAGCCGGCAGAAATGCTTGCTTAGGCCTAGGAAAATGTCGGTTGTGGGTTGTGGATAGACATATTTTATACATGCATATACAACCACTACTCTCTATTATGCATCATTCAACTAGCAGGGTGAATACATCGCTAAGCAGCCCCATATGGTATATTATTATCAAGAAAAAGCATTTTATAAGTACATATATTTTGCAATATGTAGATTATGGAGGGGCATGATTGTTAGAAATGGGATTTAACAGCCAATTGCTAGCAATATACCTTTTTTTATACAACTTAGAAAGAGCAAACAAGCAGACGGCCCACCTGATGGAAAGTGGTAACCGTCGCCTATAGCCATAGGCAGTACCATGGACATAACAGAGTATACTGTTTCGCCCATGATACCCCCCATGCGTTGCCATTCCTGAGGACTCAGATGTTATTCCTCTGTACCCTGTAAATTCACGCCATATCCCACCCTTCAAACCGAAACACAGCCATGCAAACACAACTACTTCACGGTAGAAACACGAATGGGACAGAGGTACCCAAGCAATCGACTTTTGTACAAAGTCTCCCTCTGGTAAACCTTTCGTGCCGAAGCCGGACTGTCCCTGAAAAAGTGGTTATTTCGTTGTAAAGTCTTTGTAACCAAATTATTTGACTTCATCCTCACCTATCATCCCTCACTAATAGCCCACCAGGGTAAACAACACAACATTACCAATCCATTTACATTCATTAAAATTATGTAAATAGATTATATTATAGATACGACGTGATTCTCGGATGATTGATTCAAGAATTGATAGGTTGAAGCTGGCATTGTAATAGTTATTTTTATGTTAACAGGATAAATATTATATTAGTTAGTACTAGTTATATTAATTTTAATTACCTATATAATTTATCTAGAAATACAATGAAATACAAATAGAAGCTACCTACTGAGTAATCATCATTTAGAAGGTGTTCATAGGTTGTTGTATAATGGCGCCAATCGTCCTGTCCGACTTGCTTAAAAATACATGCCGATGTCCCTGCCCAATAACACCACAGCTCACGCCTTTGATATTATACCTACCGACGCCAGGCCAAACGACCACTCGTTTATACCCTGGCGGCTTGTCGTACGAACTGTTAAAACCTTGCTTGTTCTGTTTGAAAAATTTCGGTTTATTAATATTTAAATGCGCTGGGCCCGGCTCCTCCGGACATTTTAAACACATCGAAATATCAACTAGAGCATTTCGCCCCCGATACGGTTGGCTCCTACTCGTTTTATTCATGACGCCAAAATGACTTTTCTTATATTTTTCCAAGGTGCCTTTTAGAGCTATCGGCCAAGTTGCAGCTGCGCACCTCAATGATGTACTAAAGTGATTTTTTATGGTGCTACCGTCCCGTTTTCCAGTAAAGAGATCATATGGACTTCGCAACGATACAACTTTATTAGACTTTTGTTCGATGCATTCTTTATCTACTATAGTATAACGGTTAGGCGCCAACGACCACTTCAGAGAGGTATCTTTGAATCGGCATAGCTCATCTCGATCAAAAGTAGGTCTAGTAGAATGCGGCCCATAAGGAACTTTGTACGGTGCTGTATTGTAATACGTACCCGGTCCAGGAATTCTATTTTTCAAAGACCGACTTCGTGGAGTTCGTCCAAAACCAAGGTTCTTGCAAGCCGGTTCATATTTTGTGACCAACGGAATGTCATGCCACGCTGGTCCCAACAAAGAACGTTGCAATTTTCGTTGTTCTAGAACCCTTTGATTTCTATACCCCAAGTTACGCGCCCACTCCTCTAATTCTTTCTTGTATCTCCAAAGATCTTTTGCGGATTTTCTGTTTTTGTTTACTTCAAAGATTTTGTGTATAGGCTGGGGATGGTATAGACATGGATCACAGCCATTGGGTCTTATAGTAAACAAACCACTTGGATCTAGTTTTGGATGAACCGTTATCTTGCCAAAACGTTTCACACTAGACCCAAAACCTATTTTAGATTTAGTAGTGACCATTGTAATTTAAATGTAACTAAAATAATATAAATATAAATAGATAAACTATACATATAGGTTTTGTTAAAAATTTGTTAATATTTTTATGACTAAATTCACTGACGAATTTTTTGGCATGTTTAATGTCAAAGCAAAATAAATATCTATATAGTATATAAATTACGTTGTTCGTAATTCCAAATATTAGATCTACATTGTCAAAATATTTGTTTGTAAAAATTAAATTTATAAATTTGAATATAACTATAGCAATATTGTCTTGTTTATGTAGAATGCATAACTTTAGGTTAAATCCTTACTAATATTATAAAAGTGAGTTTGTTATCTCATAGCGCCCTAACGACTTAACCAATTATTATGAAATTTTGGATACGCGTACAAGGATATAGGCTACTTTTTATCTCGGTCAATAAACCTATCCGAGTCACGCCGACGAAGATGTGAAAAAAAAAATATAAAATCAAATATTGTATGCACGAATGGTTTGAAATCCGTGATATAATTAAGGGTTTACGAAGCAAAAATCCCCGTAGGTATATCGATTCTTTAATTATTAAAATTTTTAGAAACTAACTTTTATCCGCGACTTCTCTAGCGTAACCATTATCAATTGAATTGGGATCAATAGTAGCCTACAGTAGCCTATTTGTTTGTTTGATATCTATCGCATATGGTTCCTACGTATATACCAAATACCATGACCATTGATAATTGATACCATGATTTGACAAGCTCTCTTTTACATAATACTAGTAAGGTATATTAAACTACAAACATCATATTCCAATAATTAGCGATTCAAAAAAATTCAAAGCGAGCGGGATTTGATAACGTGACTCTCCTACGCTATGCCATAGTTAGTAATCTTATCCTGCCTGCTTCAAATGCTTTTACACCATACCCGATTTTCCATGACCTGCGGTATTATTGAAAAATCTTGAGAACCCAGACCAAATATTATATTTTTCATTGTGATCAAACGTTTAATAAAAAAAATTCGGTGTAATGTCGCAAAATCGCCATACATGATACGTTATCAGTTTCAAGATCGAATGATGAATCGCTACAAAAATCATTGTATGTAAATCCCCGAAAGTTTTTTGTAAGTTTTCATTGGTTGTCTCAGAATATACAGGTACAATTAGTAGTACTGGTTATAATCCTAGAATCCATCGTGGTTCATTCCCGATGAATTCGTTCCGAAGGGCCAACTGACCTACTTCATCCTCACCCATAATCTCTTACGGGTGCTAGTGTATATCGATAACATTGACGAAGTTACCATTACATTTTCATCTATGAAAAAAACTTACCTTCAGAAACATACAGAAATATCAAAATATAATTTGATACTTTCCTACACTCGACTTCAGGTAATATCCTTGACCTCGTAACCGCTTGTTTTCAAAGCTTAAAAATTCGACCATGCAACTTGAGGAAAATGCCTTATGAATACTTTTCGGTTTTGTGGGGGGGGGGGGGAGAATTGTTGGTGAATAATGCGGACTACCAGTCCCATTGCTAGCAATATACCTTGTCGGTTCGACCTCCACGTGGTTCCCCTTGGAAACCATCGTGCTGAATTCCAAGTGCATTCATCACGATGGGCTAACTGACCTGCCTTTTCATTCTCATATATCAACCCTCACTGGTGCCCCACCAGCGTATACCGTTAGCGTAGACGGGGTTACCATTTCATTATCATTTATTAAGAGTTACGGCTTGGTGTACCTATTACAACTAACCACGCATAAGTCTCAAAACACGAAATGTAAAAGTTCGATATACCGACATTACAAAAAATCTATGTTTATAGGGAAAAGATTGCTAGATATATACGGTCAGGTCGACCTCGTCGTGGTTCCGCCTAGAAACCATCATGATTTATTCTTATACATCAGACCTGCTTCCATTCTCAACTATCATGCCTCATTGATGCCCGCCAGCGTATAGGGATAATGTAAACAAGAGTCATTATTCCATTACTGTACACTTTAAAATCCAAAATAGATATCTTAGTCAGCCTTAGAATATCAGTGTCAAAACATACTAACCACATAACCATAGACTACCTGCAGTCCTCACATCCCCATTAACTATTAATTGTCCACTGCTAAAAATAAGCCCCCACCTTAGGGGGGGAGGAGGTTGACACTAGTTGCCACACTTAGCTGGTTAGCAACCGCAGTTAGGATTTGATATATTAAGAGGGATGCTGCTGTTCATCACTCGACCATCGAGTTCCTTTAGCCGCCTCTTACAAAACCCACGGGAAAGAGAGATAATCCATTCAATGCCGGGTCCTCTTCAGTCGGTTATATTTAAATAACTAACAATAATAAGCGTATATTTTTATCTGTATGTCTTACCGTATTATCCTTGTTAAATTTTGAATTTCTAATTTACTACTAAGATTCTTAATTATAAGTTAAATAAGTTTCTTAAGTATAATATTAATTATTAAAAAAATATATTTATTTCATACATTGGCAGTTGCGAATTAATGATGATTTATTTCCAAGGTGTTCCCTTACAACTTGGTCCAAAGGAAAGTCATTTTCTTTCGATATAAAATTTTAAACCCACAAATGTCCTATAAGGAGTTTAAATGTAAATCAAACAAACAAGTATTGTTTTTAATGGCCGTTTTAATTGAGGAACAAAGCTAAAGGCATTTTATATAAACAACGGTTATTAATTTCAACCATTTATCAACATTTTACTTACAATCAAGGAGTCTGACACGTGTATACAATTTTAGTTTTGCTCCCCAAAATGTTCCATTACTCGTTTATTGTAATGTTTTGTGATAGTAAACCATATATCTTTACAATGACTATGTATAGTCCGCATTTGGAAGCCTTACTATTTAAATCCTTACTACTAAAAATATAATCGTACATTGTTAAGGTCCAAATGAGACTACACATTACACTATTACATGAAGATAAATGTAACTAAAATTAAATTAATTATGTACAAAACCTCAAACTAGAATGAAAAGCAAAAAATCGTAGCATTCATAATATATTATGAAAAATATATACAAGGTGAAATCATAATCTTTAACATCATTTTAAGAGATTTAAACTTTTTAACCAAATTGAAAAATACAAAAAATTATGAATTGAAATATACCAAAAAAAATTTTAGAGCCACTATACTAACTAGATAGGTAGACCAGCTACATTAGTATGAGAGGCTCAAAATATGTCGTCTTTCGACACTATGTTTCTTTGAGGAAAAGTTCAGTTTTACTAGTAAAACCACTCCTCTGAAATGATGCTAATGATTTCAATTGCACAATGTAGAAAACGATAATTTATTATTCTTCTCTTATTACTGATTTTAAATATATAAAAGTTCCAAACAACAAACGCATCATGAGTGATACAACATTTTGCTAATCGTTGTTACTCGTATAGGTACATCTAATCTTAACCATAGAATTAAATGGTTACAATGATGGCCACCACACCTTGCTTCAAATATGTTTACAAACTTCAAAATGGCAAACCGAAGAAGTATTAAAGATTATAACGAATAACATCACTAGAAGCAAGATCGTATACATCACTCTTAGAGATATATTACACTGTTAAATAAATATGATCACATTACATTATATAAGGTAGAAACGAAATGATCGCACCTGGGCTATTCCTGAGTTCGTAAAGCTATAAAATGATAAGTGCATCAATAACTTCATGAATTGATAATTAATTTTGCTATGATCCTTAAATATATGATAGTTTAATACAGTGCTTATTCTGCGTGACAGTATAGTACAAGGGTGTTTGTGACGTGCCACGGTATTACATCGGAGCGGAAACACAGAATTGTCAAAGTAATAAAAGTTGCATAAAATAAATTATAAAAAAAAAGGAAATAATACATCTATTGTATTTTGTCACTAACAATTTAGATCAAAAGAAAGAAGCAAAATGTGTCAATAGTTTTTCTATGGAAATAGAATACCCCATATCTAATAGCAATTTAATAAATACAAAACAAACTTATAATTTTACTTTATCACATTTTTACTTTTTGTTAATAAACAGATACTTTGTTAGATTATTAGTCCTTACATTGATGATTATAAGTATGAAAATCAAACGATTAAAAATAAAGCCGAAAAATTTATCACAATATTAGAAACATACATGTATTATTACTATTAGGGTCGATTAGTTGAAACTTTTATGAGATTGCAATGAATGCAATGAACATTTGAACTAAAGTATTGCTATCTCTGTCGTATAATTTTAAAATATAGAACAAATAATAAATCATCGATTTCTCGACAAGAAAACACCAATGCTACTAATCTAAATGTTCTCGCCGCATAGTAGTAAAGTGGATGACACTTCAAATTAGTTGAATGTATTGTGACCATATGTAATAACAAGTTGTAAACACAGTCCGCTATCAAATGCAACTAAATTTAAATGTGTTATCGGTTAAGAGCTGCAACCTGTACAAGACTCTAGGAACCGATACGTCCGAGCTCGCGCTTTGCTGCATTACGCACGGTGTACAAAGGGCACAGCCTTATAAAAAAAAAATTAAATCCCTTATTAGTCTAAAAATTTATCACTCATGTCTATGTTCGCAAGTATATTACGAATGTGCCAACTTTGACATAAAAGTATTAAAAACGAAAAACAGACTTCATAATTGGGAAACTTAATATACTATCGTAAACTGCGCCATTAAAAACATAAAAAAAATAACAAAAATATGAAAAGAAAGCCGAGTCGGCACAGACATGTTTTTTTCGGCTTTGCCGTTAAACAGTTCGAGATCTAAACGGTACCCAAGTTCTACGTAAGATCCATGAAACAGTATCACATAAAACATTTATAGTGAACATAAAAAAAAAACTTGCAAATATCAATCCTAAGCTTACAGATTTCAAGTTCAACCATATTTTCAAACCAAATAATCGATTTGTACGCATATGCAGTGAGAATATAAGATAATAATGTTTATCAATTTAATATTTATTTATCAACGTACGGTTGCCGAATATCCCTTAACCTACATATAATCGACATTGACCAACAATTACTACTTGCCAATGATTACAGACGAGCAGTGAGCTCATTTATTTGAAGTCCTATTCTTAATTTATTTGTTAGTCTGAAATGACCTACTTTCAACTTTCTTATTCAGGAGGTAGGGTAAGTAGTAGTAGATTAGTATAGTAAATAGTACAGGTTAGCATGTCGTATACGCATCAGATGGATTCCATAGCATTTCGGAGCTATATTCCTGTATTAACCGATTTCAAATCGAAGAAGTTATATTGAATGTTTTTTTTATTTAGTTTTATACAAGGTCTTCACCATACCTTTTTTAATCAAAATTAATCGAATTGATTTAAGTGTTAGTCTAGAATCCTTGTCTAATAATAAGAAAATAGCGTCCGTAGCGCAAACGCGAACCCCACTACCCGTGTAACCTGCTTTGCGCAAACTGTAATCTTAACAATAAAATTAATCGAATTTTCATTTGTCCCATACTAATTTTGTTGCAATTTAAACCCGCATTACATTTAAAAATAAATGCTAAACTACGGTAATACATAATAGATATTATACTATTCAATTATGAATAATCTAAAATAATACCAGTTAACATATTTTGTTCACAACAAATTATGTCTATGATTGTAAACCTTGTAACTTTTTTCAAAAAGAAGTTTGACTTCTTGGTAATTTTATTTAAAATTTAAAAGCGACATGTAAACCAGTTTATTTACGCATTATTGAGGATTTGGTGAGCTCATATCTAACGAAATAAATCGAAGTAACTTATTAAAACCTTATTTGAAATTTCGAAGATGAATCCAGTCTAATATTATATTTGTTATAGCAGTCTAAAATCGGCTAAAAATCATTCAACAATGTTAACTTTGATAAATATTCAAAAGGTAAGCTTCCTTGTTTTAGCAACGAATGAAATTTTTTATCGCATCTAAATATTGTCGATCTATTTAAATATATAATTTTTTTTTTATATTATTTCTAAAATTTTGATGTAAAAATGTCAATAAACACCATGTCAATAAACTATACAAACTGTTAAGTAGCTACAGCGAGGGATGAGTATTTTGTGTATCAACAACATTTCATTACAATTATAAACTATTTTGACTTTACAATCACAATTTATAATTTTCTGAAAAATAAATTTCATTTCATTTTAAATTGTCATAAAATATAGAAATGAAAATATTCTAAAATCATAATGATAACATCGATTACCTGAAAAACGCAAAATATCAGCAGCACTCATGCCGGTAGACCATAAAATACTACAAACAAGCTTTCTATTGCTTTTGAAAATGGAGAGATACTGAACACAGCAAAACTGATGCCCACCTGGTATTTACATTATAATACGTATCACAGATAATTTGTAGTGCATTTGTAAAAATCAAATTTATAACTATTTTAATCACTAAAAGTTATTAGAAGAAATCAATTTATATAGGATGATAAATAATTTGTAAACTAAGAATGTAATAGATATATTGTCTTTGTGTATAGGCATACGGATAAAAATTTCATGAAACAAAAACACAAAAACGATAAAAAATTTCGAACTCGCCATACCCAACTCAACAGAAGAATGCGCCGTATTAGTATGAGCTTATTTTTTATCGGTTTCAACCCATGTTGCTTTTGTGAAAATATTCAATTTCACTGATGGTACCCACCCTCCCTCGAAAGCATGCTAACGATTTCACCCTGAATAAATTTTAAGAGCCAGCAACTCGATCTCTCTTCTGTTGACTATCTAATGTAAAATTTATAAGACGCATTAAATACGTTCATTGAAAATTGAAAACAAAACCTGTCATATTGAATATACAAGTAACACTACTAGTAAAACTCGAGGAGTTTCGCATATTGAGTCAAAGATTGCATTTGTTTATATCTAGATCGTGCATAACGAAGGCGGCCCAAAAACTTTTGACATTACTTCTAGACCTCAAGGTGCTACGCATTTAATACTGCACTAGTCATATTACCCTTTAAAACTGAAAGCCGGCACGTAACATTTCAGCAATATAAATCTTGAATTAATACGTATTAGTTAATTTAGGTACTGTAAATATTGAACTTTATATTATTTCGATGAGATTCCATTGAGTTAAATGTCATTTTTTTACATACTCCTTCTTCTCATCGTAAATATGTACCATACACTTTAATGCACTAGATGGGTTGTCAGCTATTTACCAATTACCATAAAGATGGATGAGACATTACACTTTAAAATCCAGATGTGAAAGAAATTAGAGAACTAAATAATATATACTCTATTTTTCTATATTCCGTACAATTAGTAAATAATCTTAGGATATTTCTTCTCTGTTTAACGAAATTTAGTATTGATTTAAAAATAAATAAAAGTCTAAATAAGATGTAAGAAGATAAAATCATTTAATATTTTCTAGATTATTTTATGCTTTGTTATTTTAACCAAAATACAGCTAAATTTGTTTACTAAACAGAAATGACAAATATAGAAAAACAAATAATACTTGTGATGATGGAAGTGTGTTGGAATAAATGAGCAAGGGGCCATCCCTTACAAATCCTTGTAATGGAGATAATGTATTTTTAAAAGGGCAAACCATCTGTTCTGTCCCCACAGACAAGTGACAAACAAATCTATCACTAAACAAATTGTATTGCGTATTCGCTACCGTATAGGCAGAACCAGAAATAGTCTATTTCAATAGAACTTAATAAAAGGTAGCCAGGTTTCGTTGAAATTTTAACAGAAACATTCTTTGAAAGAAATTATTAGGAAATAAAATCTATTTCGAATTCTTATAATTTTGTTTAGAGAGTGTCCAATTAATTAATCGAGTTAGTCATTTGTTAGTTTAAATTTTCATTAAGTTCCATTGAAATAAAACTAGACATCCGGCATCTTTTTATTTCAATAATTGTAAATATTCAGTTTCAATTATTAAAATAAACTTTATGGATTGGATCAAAATCCATAATGTCTAATAGAATTTATATTCATAAATCCTATTAGACATTATGGATTTTGATCCAAAATAAAGTATTATCCATTTCTCATGAGTTTGATAACAAAAACACATCTATATACTGATTCATTTGTTACTTGTCTAGAGAGAAGAGGGGGGAGGGGGGGTAGTGGTAGTTAGGATTTTTAGTGTCAACGAATTTCTTCGTTACAGAACTCATAATTTTGTAACTGTATTTCTACATATGTATGAAATTGAAACATGGAAACAAATATATTTTTACCTTAAATTTTTGAATTTCCTTTATTTGTAACCAAATTTATTTATGACTTTCTGATTGGTTAAAGAACTAGTTAATTAAGTTAATTAATAGGTTAATTAATAATACACATTTACGATATATTTCATAATTCGACACCTTCCCACCCCCATTCCGGTTTCAAATATCATTAAAAGGTTTCTACCCTTCTCTTTAAGACCCCTTAGATCCTAAAAATCCCTTATCCCACTACAAGATCGCTTTAATTCCTTCTCATTTTTTCCTCCATCTACTACCCCACAACCTTCTGGTCCCTATCATATGACGAATTTTGTAATATAAATTTGATAAGATCTTCAAAATTCGATAAAAAGACAATAAATTTCAAAATAATTTACTTTTGTGGAAGAATTAAATGAGCTCCCTCTTGCCTTCATGTACTTTTTACGCGTAAATTCGATGGCATATAATGTAAAACCCAAACCAAATTGAGCCAACAACAAGAGAGATAGAATAAAACTGTACACCTTTGATAGATCATAATAAAAGAAATAAGACTAAAGGAATAAAAAAATACCTATAAAAACAGAACTAAGAAAGCCAAATATTATAAGTAACCAGGACGTACAACATCCAATTACCGTAAAATACCTAAAACATATAAAACCTCTTTTTCAAACGGTTTCGGACTAGAATACCCTATGTTATGAGAAACCAACCAACAAATATCTGAGAGCAAAACCCAGAATACTCTGACCCGAACTCGTTTAGAAAGTTTTATTTCTTAAATTAGCTCCATCAGGAATGTACCTGGGACCTCATTACGCAAAATAGCGTGTCGACCGCTCAGTCTCGTCGTCAACCTAGTGGACGCTTAGATAATGTATAAAAGCTTAAGCAGAAAAAAATTAAATATATATTATATTTAAATTTATAATATATAAATTATAAATTTAGAAACAATATTATTGCTGTGCGTTGTTAAATCAGTCTAACTTTTATACTAGAAACTAGTTTGTTTAATGCGGCGTAGAACACGGGTAATCTTTCAGCTCGCAAGAACAGGTACATTAATAATCACAAAAATTCGTTTTCACTTAAAAATACATAGTTGTAAAAATTTTGTTTAGTATATGCGTTGATAGACACTCAATTACAATGAATTTTTAAAAGTTATTATAGACCTAGATACATTTTAAATTTGCAATTAAATATTTTCAAAAACAAAATTGTCAAAACATAGCATCTTTTTATATAAATATTAGATCATTTAACTATTTTTTCTTTTATTTAAATTTTACTTGCAGTCGCTCTTAAAGTAGGACTACAATAACCACCAATCATCGGACGCAGTGACTAATCAATATATTAATCACTTTGCAAAATCATAATCAAACATTGCATTTTTTTATTTAATTTGATTAATATTACTCTGTTTATAAAATAAATTAATAAAAAAAAATTATATATAAGTTCGAAAAACGTCAAAAATAATTCAATAAATAAATAAAAAATCACGAAATTTATGTATCATTTGCCAATAATTTTTGTCATAAGTGTAAAGATTTAAAAACAAATACAATTTTTCTACGCCGATGATATATGATCTGATGACAAATAAACGATTTGTTTAAAAAAAAAAATTAGAACGCGTAATTGAGTGTTATAACGAGATTTTGCTTCGAGACAAACAGAATTTTGCTTCGCATAAAATTGCCGGTTCAATAATCTCAACACGAGAGTAAACTTTATCGATTGCGAAAATAATTATCAAAGCCAGTCAGGGTTAGCATTAAAGTTAGAAACTATCAGAATTAAAAAAAATCTGATGAATTAAGAACCTTGTCTTTTTGGAAACCATTTAAAAATTAACTACATATTACGTCCTTCAGAATTTACATAAAAAAAATCTGTTTTTAAGAAACCAATCGCCGCACGGTTAAATCGGTACGATAATAACCTAATAAGTTTGTGAGCATTATACTTTTGCAATAAGTCGAATTTTAGTGAATAATAACTTTTGTGAATCCTACTATGTTGGCTTTACTCGCGGTACAATTCGCGACAAAGTCCTGAACCGTGCTCATGTACAGAGCCCCTTTCGAGTTTTAAACTAGTTGGGCATCCGCTACTTTAAAATTTGTTGATAATTTACAATATATAAAGTTTTCAATAAATAAAAAAAAATTATTCAAGTAAATACTTTTTAATTAAGTTATAAGCATTTTAATAGGACACTTGATATGTGTTGAGTTCAAAATGAAATATCAATGAGTTTTTCCAAAATAAAAAAAAATGAATACTATGATAACCTCCTTATTTTGTATAACTAGTATTTTTGAACAGACAAATCTAATAAAAACAACTTTGTTACGAATATATATCCGTTCAATAGCCTATATCAAGGACTAAGTCTTAAAGAATAGTTACATCATATTTTGATAACCACCCTTTGATTATGATGTAACATATATTAGAACAAAAAAATCCCCATCTAATGTGTCTAAAACAAAATTCTTTCGCGAGATATGAGCTCGAAAAATTAAACCATATTTCTATTAAAGTAAAAATTTAATTTGGAAATAAAATTAACTCGATCAATTAATTTCATATATAAAAAGCGCGCAACGCGAAAGTCCAAAAGATAAATAAGTAGCAAACGAGGGGTTCACTATCCACTGTAACGTAAAATTATATCGAAAATTAATCAAGATATGGATAAAAGATTTTGTCTAATAAAATGTGCAAACAGTAATCGCTAATCTATCGCAAAAAAATTATTACGGGACAGACACGATGATAAACCCAGACACTAATAGAATCGTTTCAGATTTGTCAACCCTATCGATTGTATAAAACATTAATAAAATACGTTCAAAATTGTGAATATCATGTCACATGAAACAAAATATATAGGCTAATGAGGTGCTAAATCTTTATTGCGCGCAGGACATGCTCTTGATTGGATTTTATAATGACAATTACATAATTCTAACACTTTAAGAAATTCCGAACATACATACAATACCGAAACTATTACAATCGTTACTTCATAAAAGCTCGTCGTAATTCCGATAAATATATGAATGTACTAGCAGCCCGTCCCGGCTTCGCACGGATGGACATTTTTACAATATTTTACATTTTTATCTGATCCTACACAGCTACCTATTTTATAGATGTGTCTGCTCCCAGTTACCCCTCTCCCGCACCGCTACAATACCTGGCTAGCTAGCCACACACCGACACGGCGCGAGTGGCGGGCAGCGCTTTTTCTATATCTGACTTTTTAACATAATATCTTTCGAATGGAATATACCTACGATTTGAAAAATTCAAAAAATAATCTGCGGGTATTGAGACGATTTTGAATAAAAAATATTTTATTTGGATAAGGACTAATAAATAGGTATAAATAACATGTACAACGCGACAGTGTTATTTTTTTTTTATTTCTATGATTTATTAAATTCGTAATATCTATTCAATGGAATAACCGATTTAAACAATTCAAAGAGAAATCTACATAAATTGAAACAGTTTTGAAAACAGTATGATTTATTTGGATAATAATTTAAACAGAAGTATGAATAACATGATGTAATTTTGGTCGATATTTCTATCAACTTTTAAAATATAAAAAGTAGTTATTGTGACATAACGATAATAGTTGGACATGTAGTTTTTGTAGTTATTGATGTTTTCTTCAATATTGTAGAACATACTTTTGTTCTATCACTAATAGTTTCCGCAGTGCACCGCATGCCCCAAGATATGAGAAATAAAACTATAAATAATGCAAGTTACTAAATCCGCGCCAATTTAGATAAGATCATGAATCAAATCAAGAACTTGGTATACACATTATAATACGGCTTATATACTACAGTAAGTTCATAGTGCTTTCTAATAATAAACAACTTGGAAAATATAACTAAAGTATTTTGATTTCCTACTTAAAAGAGTTTAAACAATAAAAAGAAAATAAATAAAAATAATGTAAAGCTGAAATGTGGCAACACTAATGCAAATAATGAAGCCATGAAAAAAACATTTGATAATAATTTAGTCTGTTGCCACACACAGCGAAAATAAAAAAAAAATAAAGATTCTTCTTGCCTATTCTGCTAGAACCGGCGTGAACGCATAAATAATAAAAAAAAAATATAAAAAAACAAAGCACAAGACTAATTAAGGATAACGGCCTTAGGATTCCGTCTGTCTATCCCATAAGTACTGGCGTGAAGATATCCAAATGATTTATATTCGTTTTAGTACTTTTGATTACTAAACACTGGGAAATGTTTAATATAAGTTAGTACTCTTAATAACACTTGGAAATCGAACCAGATGAGGATGCCCAAACTTCTTAATCATGAGTTAATTGATTGTTTATTATGAATGACTACGAAACCCTAGTACAATTATTTGGCGATTTTATTTACATATCAATCTCATTATGTGATAAGTTTCACTCAATATGAGATTACTTTCATGAACTATTTGTACTAACACCAAAATAATTTCTCTAAATATCATCTGAGAAATACCCATAAACAATCTGTACACATGTTGATAACTAAACAAAAACTGCCATGTAACTTTGTAAACCCTCAATCATGCATAACATGATTGTATTAACTGAAACAGATTTCATCCATTACAGAAAAGAATATAAAAAATAAAAAAGTATCCCAAATGACTGTGAGCTTATACTTGGCGACCAAGTTCACAATTTCAAAATTTGAACACGTCACATTCCCATGCATATACATGTCTACATGCACAATGTGTTTATTACAGCTAAATGATAATGAAAATAATAAAAAAGAAAAAAACAAGCAAAATCACATACAGTTTCATAATCGTTTTTATAGGTACATATTACGTTATAAAGTATAATGCACACATAATCAATAGACTTGATTGATTATAAATCTAACATATTAATCACTAAGCTTATAGTATACGTCTACCATGAAGAATGCCCGAATGTACGTCATCCTTGTAGGTTTACATGAGTTTTTATCTATTTACTACAGATAGGACACTTACAAGAGTTTCCGCGAGCAATTTGGGCCATTGTGATGGGGACTGTGCGCCATCAGTTGGATATGGATTCATCGCTGGGGATTCCTGCGTACAGCTTTTCGTACGCGTCTGACGCCCGCACTAGGAGAACTGCCCATGTTAAACTGCACCTGAGGCGCGCCGCCTGCCGCCGCCCCGAAATTATACATGCCTGTCTGCAACGCCGGCTGCTGTGTTGATTGCTGTTGCTGTACACGAATAAGTAACATATCATTTTTTGTAAAAAATGAAAACAAATAGATTTAATGTGTGCATGTGTGCATTTATACGAATGATAAAGACGTATTTATTTTGTTGAATTTAGTATTGTTTTGCTATCCATGTAATTGATTATTTAATTAATATTCAAATATATCAACTATTAATGGTCAGACTTCTATATCAAATCGCAATCACATGCACATCGTGATACAGCGATTCAAATAATTGAGAATCAAAACCAATTATTGTGATTTAAAATTTTAAGTACTGAATCTATTTTGATAAATTTCCTACGGGATCAGTCTGTCCTTTCATATAAAAAAAGGAATTTTCCAAATCGCGTTGTAAGTAACGGAGTTATGAGGTAACAAACAAAATATTTAACCGACCGAATTAAGAACCTCCTTCTCTTTGAAGTCGATTTATAAGAATAAAGACCTCCCAATTATTTCATTTCAATATTAAAGTGACAATATTAAATATCAAGGTTGATTACAAATTAAAATATATAGGTTTTATTACCTGTCCAAACCCGAAGATGCCGGTGGTCTGTGGCGAGCCAAAATTAAAAGTGGGTGCTGGCGCTGGTGTGAGCGAAGGCGCTTCAAATGACGGGATTGATGGACTGGGTGTACCGAACGTAGGTGCAGCACCAACATTTGGTGTACCAAACATTCCCATTGCCGGTGCCGGGTTACTGGACGCTTGCGCACTGCCGAATATATTCTGTGCAGGCTTCACCGAAGTCGAGAATAACGACTGTGGATTACTTGGGCTCTGGGCCGGCATACTGAACACGTTTTGCGGAGGCGATGTGCTACTTCCGAACGCAGGAGTCACATTATTATTGGCGTTGAAAGGAGAACTAGATCCGAAGGTAAACGCCGCCGGTTTCTGGAGACTATTACCATTAGATGCTGTATTTGATGAAAATAAGTTGGAGGTAGAATTATTTGCCGCAGACCAAATATTCTCTTTTTGTACAGCTGCACCGAAAATGCTTGACGCTGTCGCTGGTAAAGCGTCACTCCCTTGTAACTCATTTCCAGTGGATAAGGAACTAGTAGTGGCTTTGCTGTTGGCAGCTAAGTTTCCAGTGGGCAGTCCATTGTTACCAGCCAATGTACTGCCCAGAGAGTTTCCTGTGGATAACCCATTACCTACTAAAGGATTATTGGTCAGTGGTTTATTGGTTCCGATACTGGTTCCACTGGAAATTGTAAATTTGGTAGAACTGGCATTCTCTGTAGATGCTCCAAATGCAGGTAATTTAAACTTAAACGAGCTTCCCTCATTCATATTGTTAGCACTGCCAAAATTAAAATTATATTTTGGTTTCTCAGACTGAGTGGTACTTGGTTCTGAGTTGGCTCCAAAACTGAATAATGGCGCAGTGGTGGCAAGAATTTGCGGAGCAGCTGTGGAAACTGGTTCTGGTTTTTGGAACAATGATATGGCTGAATTTGTTTGTTGATCACTTTTCTGAAACAATGTTTGCGTAGTAGAAGTAGTAGTGCAGGTTTGACTTGGCTTCTGGAATACTGTCGCTGCCGATATCTCTGATGAAATCTGTGGTGGTGATGTAAATGACGTTGTGATAGTAGCCGTCGTAGACGCCGGTTGGGCAAATACATTCTGAACTGTGGGTTCACTAGTTTCAGTAAAAGAAAATTTATTTTGCGGCTGAGTTCCTTCACTACTTATCACACTTTGTTGCAAAACCGTTTTTGTTGTAGAAGGATCCTCATTCTTCTCTTCAGGAACAGCAGATGGCACCAATACTGGTATAGTTAATGGTTTATCTGGAGTTTTGTTAGACTTTAATGAGGAACGGAATATTGACTTAGATCGTTTTTGTGGTGGCCTGGCTGGAATTTTGAATTCAACTTTTGGTACTTCTTGTAATTTCTCTTTTTCTTCAGCCTTATCAGGAGCTACATATGGCATTTTATTTACATTATCAAAGACCAACGGCGCTCCTGTTGCTGTAGCAGATGGTAAGCCAAATGAAAATTTTGGAGTTTCACAGAGTTTTTCCTCAGTAGTTTCTTTAATATTGGAATTTCCATCCTCCAACTTTTTTGTAGACATCCCAAAAGTAAAAGCAGGGGCTTTAGATAAAACATTATTATTTGTTTCTGATTCTTCTTTGTCCTTATCACCTTGTTTAGGAATATTGACCACTTGAGCATTTGAGTCAATACCAAATTTAAACATTACATTTGTATTCATACCAAAATTGTAGGTTTTCTTCACTGGCTCCTTTACAGATCCAGGTCTCTCAAATTCACAGCATACACATTTATCTTTATCATTATAATTTTTTACCAAACAGCTACTACACTCCCACATACCAGATTGTGATTTCATCACATTACTGAATAATGGATCTGGTTGCTTGAATACTGTTGTAGTTAGAGCACCTGATGCCAATGCAGGAGTACTGCTTTGCTTCGCTCCTGGCTTGGCGCCCCCACAGGCGGCACACTTATCAACACTACTTTTGTTCTTGATCCAACAGTCATCACATGTCCAATCACTGCTTGTCACGGAGGAACTCTCTGCCAACACTTGGTCGGCAGGTTTTTTAGAGATTGAGGCTCCACAGCAAACACATTTTTCAGCACTTGGGTCATTAAAGACCCAACAATCTGGACATTTATTTTTATTTTGATTATTAACCTTTAATGATGGCTGGGTATCAAAATTATCGGAGGATATCTTTTCAGAATTTTTACATTTATCTTTATTTGCTTCACTATCAACCGTCTTACAAACAGAATGTATATCCTGTTTATCCTCAACCACTTTCATTTTCTTAAAACCACAACATACACACTTCTCTACATAGGTTTTATTGAAAACCCAACAATCAGGGCATTGCCAGTCTTTTGATTTAGTCATCTCTGCTTTAGCTTTTTCTTTTGGTGGTGATGCACCTGCAGGAATAGGGGAAATAGTACTTTCCTTTTTATCAATGGTCAGTTTATCTATAGGACGCTCGGGACTGACAAATATGAACTTAGGAATTGTTGATATGGATTGAGGCACATCTAGTGATATCTTGACAGGATTTGAAAATTTAAAACCACTACTAACAGAAGTAGTTTCCGATTTACTTATTGTGTTTTCAGTTGCTTTTGTAATTGTATGAGTTACAGGACAACTTAATGCAGATGTTGATGATGAAATACTTGATTTAGGGGTGGAAGTAAAATTCGGTTTGGAAGCTGTAGTTCCTCCAAATGTAAACTTTGGCAGATTATTATGATCAATTTGCAAGAACACTTTAGGCAAATCCAATGGTGGTACCACTGTACTGTCTACTTCATCACGCACTCTTCGGCTTTGTAATTGGGAATTGTAAAGTCTTGATTTTATTTTTGTTGTGTGCTTCTTGGAATTATCCACATCATTTTGGTCCCTGTAAAACAATAATTTACATAATTTTGTTTTTCTTAAAATAATGAATGTTTTGATAGATTTCAGTCCAATTTCATTTATTAATTACCTTTGTGTTTCAAATAATTTCTGTCGGCAATAAGGGTAGCTTGAAGCACTACTATGCGACGCTAAGATCTGTCTCGCTGCATTTGTAGTATCCATGAGACGGGATCTTTTTCTCAATCTCAAAATGGATGCAACGGAGGGCACATGTAGTTCTCGTGTTTTGTATGCTGCAAAACATGAACTATTGTAGAAATATAAGGTACCCACTACAAATACAAAGTAAAAAAGTACAAATACTAACAAAGTGTTTTATTATTTGGGGGATTAGGGTTTTCGGAATATTCAACTATTAGTTTATTTTTTGAATTCCATGTAAATGTTGGTATCCTATGAGCTTCTTTCAATGGAGATGAATAATCCTCGAGTAAATCCATAACGCGTCTAGATGAGTAGCTCATTGTGGCGCTGTCACTATCGGTCGATTGATTTACATGAGCGTGCATCTTCTGTGTAATATTAGGTTGGTTGATATACTGAGATGTAGCTCCACCGTATGTAGTTCTTCCTGGGTAGAAAGGAGATCCCAACAAGGTAGCTTGGAAAGATGATCGTTTAGAATCACTCTCTAATCTAGATTCTGTAAAAATGACAAATTTTATTAAAAATTTAATTATATACTGTAAATAAAAAGTTTCATTAATAAAATTAACATATCTGTAAAACATATCCACTTACCATGAGCTTTGGAGACAGTGGCGACAGTTGCATCTGAATTATCAAATAATGATTTTCTTTTCATTACAACAGAATGGCCAGATCCTGAAATAGCATATGGTGATCGAAACATGTCACTTTCACCCCTTTCCATTCTGGATTGTTCAACCGATGATGTCAGAGGTGTAGAAACAAAATTGGTATCTCGTGTGACTGTACTATTTTTCGGTGCGGTTTGTAAAGTGTTGTATGGAATACATTGCTCGGTAGATTCGACAGTGGTATCAGTCTGCAAAAAATGTACACTGATTAATATTAAATCCTTTCATTTTTTAGGTTGTGTGCAATAAATAATAAGCTGTTAACATTGATAAATTATATAAAATAAATAACATTCATAAATAAAATGTGCAGATAAGCTCACCAGTAAGGGGAAATATAAACTATAAAAGAAATAACATTTGAAATAAAATGTGCAGATAAGCTCACCTCTAAGCGGGAATAATAATTATAATTTCCTGAACTAGATCGCACCCGTTTCGCTGGAGGAGGACGTGGTAATACAGAATTTTCCATTCCCTCATCCTCCGTCGACGAATCCGTCGCATCAGCCAATGGCGCAGAACCATTGCTATTGGCACTATCAGAAAAGTTAAACCACTTGGCTATAGTCGCAGGCAGCAAACCTGATACTTTACTTGTTACACTCTTGACGAAGGACTGAAATATTTATGAAAATATTTTAATGTACATATTTATTTAGCGCAAAATTTGAAATTTTCGCATAGACATATAAAATAAACTGCAAATACAATAGATTCTTATTTAGCATAATCTATGAAGAGATATGGATCATGATACTACTACTGATTAAAAAGGATACATAGTAAAATTAGTTAATTTAGAATATTTTAATGTTATTTGAAAACAAATTTAAGAAACAAAGTAAAAAATAATTATATAAGAAGTATAGATCTAAGAAAAATAAAAATATCAGATGTAATTGAAAAAGCCAGACATGTGTAAAAGAGAAGGACTAAGCATGCAATTTGCAAGATGAATAAATGGAATAAGTGGTTCACAGTTCATCAAGCAAGAACTCGCAAAAGTGGCAGAAATGGACAGATAAAAAGATAGAGAAACAACCTGCAGAGAATGGGTGGAAGAGATTGATAGACCTGTGCCAAGAGGTATATATGTACATAACTACCTTCATATAAAATAACATATTACTAATATAATAAAATTATAACTGAATGATTTTTGTAACTAGACGATGGGAGATATTTAAGAAAAACTTATCTAATGCATGTTTTATCTTGATATTACATCTAGAAGTCATCTATGTCATTTATATATTTTTCCTGCTTCTGAAATCCATGCATATAAAATAGCAGGCAAAAAGCTAGTAATAGTAGTATTATCTTATGCATTTGATATGCACATTAGATCTTAAATTATTGTCTATATTACACATTATAGTATGAGTATGCATATAAAATGCATAGGATAAATGATAGATTATTATAATTATGTTAAGTTGTAATTATGAGGCTATGCTTGCATGAATTAGTATATAAAATATCTCATATGTTCAATTAGAATATGACCGACCCGTGAACCAAGCATATAAATTCATTTAGAAGAATTTGTATAAAAGAGTAAAAAACATCCACACATCCATACATTTTTCATCCATACTTTCGGCCGCGCCAAAACTCTGTATGTGTGTTTGTGTTGTGTGTGTGTGTCTAATTGAAAGTTGATTTTTTTTAGTTTACTTGCAAGAGTAAGTAAAAATTTTAACATGTTTTTACATATAAATATATATGACATAATTGTTACATACTTTAATTAGTGTTTATTATAACCCTTTAAACTATCTGTATGTTTGTGTTAAAAATACACTAAATTTCAGTATAGAAGAGAAATTTTAAATATGTTTCAGTAAGTGTAAGTCGGCCGAAACCAAGACCAAGGCCGAAAGTTCGGTTTCGGCTGTAAAACCTGTTTCGGTCATACACTAATAAAAAACCATTCTTATATATAATACCCAAGTTAATTTTTATATTTTCGAGTATCTCTGTACCCCACTAACTAATAATTAAAGAAAGAGTGTATTCAGAAAACTAAGAAACTGTCACAGTTCTGTTCTGATTCCAAAAATACTAGGATGTGTATCTTAATCAAAATCTTTAACTACTAAATAACATTTTGTAATGAAAATTGTCTATGCAAAAAAAAGAGTTTGGGTGCCCAGTAATAGAATCTTGATGGCATTTATTTTGTTTGCACCTGTCTGTGCAAGCAAAACAATTGAATAAAAATAAAATTAGATATAATATTATTAAGCACATCAAAGTAAACATTGGAATTTTACTTTAAAACATTTAAAGAACATTTGACTACAAACCTTACTGAATAGTTAAAATAAGTGCAATATTTCTGAGTTGTGTTTTAGTTTCTGATAGTTATATCAAGAGATTTTATTATATCTATGTCTTGTATTTGTTATTTTTTGTTTTTATAGATGAAGATATAAAAATTGCAAATATTTCAATTTTGTTGATTCAACATAGTTATTCATAATATTTATATCAATATTATAGAGATAACAGTATAGTCAATATGACACTGTTTATACCTCTGATTATACATCAAAATATATGATTTCTTAAGAAAATTTGTATTTCATGTATAATTATGAAACAATTATTAAGAAAGAGACATTATGTAAACAATTAAGATCTTTAAAAATCTATAAGTACACCATATCTTTTTTAATAGTAACTGAGAACTTTAAGTAACAACTATTAGCATCCAACAAAACTTCAAATTTTTACTAAAATTTGTCAATTATAAAAATAACTGTCTATATTCTAACTGCCTTCAACTACATTTCTTTGAATATAGTTATATACAAGTGTAAAAATTACAGAACAGAATTTATATATGAAGACAAATGTATCTTTGTGCCTATAATTATCAATAATTTTTATGTAAGGACTGAACCAAAGTTTTGATTTCAACCAGTTTCAGTGCACATTTTAGAAATGGAAACTTCATCAATTTGCATTACATTTTATTTAGTTATTTATTAGCCTTTATTACCAACTCACATTATATATAATTAAAATGTTAGAGTTATTAGTTGTTGGTGTCTTTGTGACACAAAGGCCTTCTCCAGCTCTTTTCAATATTCTCTTATTTTGCTTTTCTAAGTCAAAGTAGACCTTTTTTTTTATACCTCTGAGGTGGCAAACAAGCATACGGCCCACCTGATGGTAAGCGGTTACTGTAGCCTATGAATGCCTGCAATACCAGAGGTATTACATGCGCGTTGCCAACCCTGAAGAAACCTCTTTACCCCCCTTTTGAAGAAGATCCGTTGTTATTTTAATATCATCGAACCAGCATTTCTTTTGTCTGTCTGTTTTCCTCTTTGTTTAGAATCTAAGGGTCCATTCTGTTATGTCTTTTGTCCATCTATTCTCCTTTTTTCTCAGCATGTGACCCATCCACCTCCATTTATTTGATTTTGGTTGCAACATCTTTGACTTTCATTATGTTCCTTATATCTACAGCCCTTTTATGGCTTCTTTTTGTATCCCAGATCTCATGTCCCAGAATGCTCCTCTCCATGACTCTTTGACATATAACCAATTTTTGTTTGTTTGTTAGTTCCAGTATCATACAAAAACGACTGCACCAAATGAATGCAGTTTTCAGTCATATTCCTGAAGGTCTAACTTGAAATCTGGTGTATGTTTCATACATCTCACTATCAGTAGTCAGTTTCACTGGTTTCGTAATTCTGATATCCACAGGTATGAAGTAGTGGGTAAAAAGGTAGTCCATAATATATATCATCATCTTCCTACCATTATCCCCCATATTATTTAGAGTCGGCGTAATATGGTTTTATCCATATTATTTAAAGATTTGGCTTATAGTTTTACGATCAGCTGATTTCAAAATAATATATATCATAGTAGTCCATAATATATATAAATTATAGAAATATCATAAATATTGGGTTATTAGAATATCCAGGCATCCATTCTCAACAATTTTATTGTTGATTATGATAATAAGTATATTAATGTATGCAAAAAGTTATAAGATAAAAAAATATTGAAAAGATTTTTGGTTTTGTCCAGATTAATTTCCCATTTACTCTAACTCTACCATTGTCACAATGTATGAGATTACTTTATTAACCAATATTAACAATTTTCTTATACCCTTTAGTCACCTACCCAAGAATCGTTAACAATAGACAACAATGGAGGTAGTTGGATAAGGCCTTTACTAACAAGCAAACAGACAATAGTAATTAAAGAAATAATAAATTGTAAAAAAATTGGTAAGTCTAAATGAAGGCTTATATTATTATTTGGTCACCCAAAAAATTATACAGAGTACAAAATAAAAGATTGGTTACCCTTAAAAAAACATATTATATTCTCTCAGATATACAAGAGAAAAGATTTGGTACCCTCAAAAAATAAATTGTATTGAATACAATAATTCAACACGGTGCAAGACAAAAATAAAAAACAGAAATAGGATTTGCTTATATTAATTTATACAATATGTTACTGTAATTATCACATACTACTATTATTATATAGAATAATTACAGTACTGTACTGTACAATATCACAAAACCAGGGTTTTTAACAAGTACCCGTTATTGCAAAAAAATATCACATGACCTTTACCTTCAATATCAAATACAGAATAAATATAGTTAAACAAAATAGAATCAATCGCATAGCAAACGTTTATCCTATAATAAAAATATGTTTCTACGTGTGAGGTCACAGTGACAAAAATGTAACGACATTCGCAGAGAGCGGGAATTTGATGAAAACTTACATTGTTAGCACTATCTGTAGACTGTAATTGACTTCGCTTCTTATTTCTTGAAGGATGTTTGCTCATCTTGCAACTTGAACCATATGAGATAACAATTGTCTAAAACAACGCTACACAAATAGATTTTTAGGTAAATTTATTCATAATTGGCAAAAACGTGACAAAAATGGCGTCAGTGGAATATGTCAAGAAACGCTTGGAGGGAGGTTCATTAGTATTTTTATAGAATATTCCACTTAGTCCGAAATTACGACAATTACTATATAAATTTTTGCATTTGAATTTTATGATAACAAAAAGTAATACAGAAAAATCTAATAACGTTACAATATGACGAAGAAAAAACGACTAATTTTCACGTTGCCGCTTGACTTGAGAAATATGACAAAGAGAAATATAGTCTATGGTGTCGTCAAAATCAACTTTTTTTACTTCGATATTGTCGCAGTGAAAGAAGACTAAAGACTCGAACTCTACTTGAATGTAACATATACGCATTTATATTCTATCACTTCAAGAGAGAGTTATGAATTAGAATTAGGTATTATACACAATTTTTTAAAAAATATTATAAATCTTTCTTATCATTAGGAATATAATATTATCCTTAGGAAGGATCGACGTTCATTTGCATTTTTTTTTTTGGTTCTGCAATGAAAATGAAACTAAAGTAAAACCGTGTACTAGAATAATTAATTAATACGAAACTTGAGAGTAAGCGTAACCCAAAAACAAGGAATTACCTAGAAGGAATGATAAAATTTTTTATTCATATCCGGCTAGTATATAGAAAATGTTATAGGGCCGTATAATCCTACCAAACCTAGATATAACTTGCTTGCATACAATCTAGTCATGTAAATTTGTCATTGATATATCAAACATTTTCTATAAACTAGCCTGTTATGAATTGAGAAAAATGACAACTGATGGCATCTGTCGTCCTCATTTAACTAATTATATTTGCATAAGAAGAAAGGAGACAACCATATGATTTACAGTTTCTATTTTAGCTTTTCTATGTAATTCCTTGTTCTTAGGTATTTATTATATAAAAGGTAGGTTGTAATAATAACTTAAAGTAAATAAAATTGTAATTGATACTATATAATATTTTGTAAAAATCGAGTTATACGTATCACTAAAGGGGTCAATGGAAACGAACAAAGAGGGCAATAGAAATGGCTGAAGTATGAAAAGAAATGCATACAAGAATAAAAATGCTTATGAGTTGAAAAGACTTTGTCATATAGGATTATCAAAACTGCTTCTCTCACATCAAAAACATTACTTAATAACGTTATTATTTACAAAGAAATTGATTTTGTGAATTACTCTTTTTATTATCTGTTGATTTTTTTTACATATATAAAAATATAGACCTAGCTTGTGTATGCTAATCTAATGTCCAGTACGTAAGTAAGAGTACCTATTCACGAAATAAATTCCTTCATAAAAGTGACAATCCTGGTTAATTTTTCTATTGACCCCCTTTCTCGTTTCTAGTCACCCAATCTCAAGGTATACAGAAAATGAACATATTTTGTAAGATTTCAAGAGAAACAGACTATTCAGTTAATATTAAAGATCCAAATTTTAAAGGATTGTACAATTCTTTAATTAACCCTTTTTTACGGTATCTATATAATTTAAGGTTTTTACACAATATCTGATTATTGTTTGACAACATTATGGATATTAAAGAGATACATTTAACTTTTATGGGTAATAATAGAATTATTGCTTTTGGAGGTAGATCGATAACTTTTATATAACTAACTGTCGTTGTCAAATCGTTAGAAACCCAAAATTTTATAATTATCGTTTTAACAAAGAAATAAGTTCAGCTATTGTAAAATATTTAAAGTAAACGGAAATTTAACATAAATAATGATTTCGCCATAAATTTCACAAGTAAGTAAACATTGAATTGTAATGTTTAATGTATGCAAAGAAATGACTTGTAAAATTCAAACTGAACCTGGAGCTTAAAACATTTACAAATAATTTCAAATAATCTTGGCATATTTTAAGAAATTTAAGGAACTAATTGTCTTTTAATTATTAGGTATTACGATGATTATGGAAAGTCATTCAAAATATACTTTTCCTTTTGTAATTTACATGTTTTTTTTTTTTTGTTTTCTGCACCGAAATTTTTATATAATGTGTAAAATTCATTTTTAAAAATATCATATTAATTGCTATGAATAATCTTTCAATAAAAATGAAACAAACGAATACAGTAGTAAATTTCTAATGTTAGTACAAATAAAAATCCATTTACTCATTAAATTCTTATGTCGTGACCACAATCCGATAATATTGTTTACTGACATTGAGCTATAAAAAAAGTGGTATCATTTATTGGCTGGTACTACAAAATAAATTCTTTTTTAATAACTATGGGCCCATAGCCGACAATTTTTTTCTTTCTGGCGTAGAATGACACTAACTGCACCAAACCAGGACTAGGATGCGTTCAAAAATTTTAATTTTTATTTACAGAATTATATTACTTATATATACTTCGATCGATTATAATCTTTGATCGATACCTATTTGATACTTGCCTTTAAAGTATATTTATTCAATTTTATCAATATAAAAGTAATGTCGCTTCTTAAAAAACGATTGTGTTCCCAGTTTTGCTAGATTGGGTATTATATATTGGGTATTATAGATTGGGTAAATTATTAAGTAAAAATTTTTATTACTTTTAAATTTTAAAGTGTTAAATAGGAAAAAATTTGGAGAAAAATTAAATAGGCGTGGAAAGATTTAATTAATATTTTTGACTTATGTAATGAAAAAACATACTTTGACTAGATATTGACTAGATAGAAATGAACAATATTATATTAATTTGGAGAAAAAAAAAATAGTATAATCAAAAAACGCACATGACAACCCTGGTGATTGCACACTAGTGACTATATACCGTATTTCTCTAAGTAGTCTGTGCTATATAATATACTCTTTGACGACAAATAGCGTACCCAAGCGACATAGTAATTACTAATCATTGAGAGTGTACTTATCTTTTATTTTTATACAGTGTTTGCTTTCTCTATTTTTTAAATAATTGTATTATACAAAGTATTTTTCTGACTTGAATTAAATATTAATTGTTGAGATATTCTAACAAAAATGTTAGGATATTCTAACGCCGGTATACCAGACAAATCATGGCAACCACCCGTTGCAGTCATCGAAACAACGTAAATAATAAATATTTACTTATATCAATTTATTGTTCATTTGCAGACTGTGTTTATTTCGTAAAATTTGTGAAGACTATCTCATTTATTTACTCTTTCTTTTATTACTTTTTATTCAAAGTTCTGTTGTGTACCTAAAATTACTACTATACATTAACGTGAAAATTACTTTAGTTGTTCTTAAACAACATTTAACATAACCAAAAGACGTACATAAGATAGATGAGAGAGTACTTTTTCAGGAAATAAAAGGGCCACTCATGTATTTTGCAATATGCACAAGAGCTAATATTACACACATGGTATCTTATATCACGTCATTGCAAACTTGCTAATGTAACAGGTTCTGAGTGAACAGCGTTCACAGTTTTATATTCTATTTACCCCTCTACATTATTACGATAGACATTGCACTTTTCTTTCTTTTCTCTTAGTCTTGTGTTGCATTTATCACAACAGAGTTTTTTAATGCATGATAATGAAAATGGTATCCCACCTGCGCTTCTAGTATACACTTTCAGGGCACCAGTGAGGGTTGATTGGTGAGAATGAAAAGACAATGATCGATGATCATTCAATGATAAATTAGTCACATTAGTTTCCAACAATAACCATATGGTAGTCGACTTAATAAGGTATATTGATAGCAATGAGAACTAACCTCCCCATTACTTCCCATTACAATAATTAGAGTAGATAATGTGACAATTAATCAATCAATTGAATTTTTATATCAATATCAGTATGATAGTGTGGCTACCTATCTGTTTTCTAGGTGGAATGGGATTGTTAGTAACTTGTTAGGTTGACCTCCATGAAATTCTCTCTGGAAACCATTGTGATTAATTCTTGTAGAATTTTTTACAAACACTTAACTGGCTTGCTTTCACCTTTACTTATCATCCCTCACTGGTGCCTTGCCAGAATATAACAATAAAGTAGGTTGGTTGACTAAGGAAATGCAATGTTTGAGGGATAGGCAACAGTGTTCCTCTTAAAACATCACCGAAAGCCAAATGCGGATTTCAATTTAACTGCCAAGCATGGCAACTACTGATAAAATCCTCCCAATAATAAACTGCTATAGAGAATGTCTCCATTCTATAGACTATATTGGGTGATATGATGATGATGAATGGAATAGAATCTCTGCCTGTGCTCTCTATATATGCTGGTAGTACAAGTATAAGAAGTGATAGGTAAAGATGAAGACAAGTCACAAATTATTATTGTTAGACATATTGATTGATTGTTTTATTGTTAGTAATGTAAACAATCCTTTTGCACAACCATCAGTTTATTTAGACTAAATACACATATACAATGATTTAGTCTTGAGGTTATGTGCTTTAAACATGCTATATGTGTGGTGATAGATTTACATAATCTGGCTCTCTTCAAAGTGACTTCATCAATAGAATTATTATGGTTAGTGAGATCAAGAGTTAGAATGAGATAGTAATGATGATACTGTCTTATTCCAACTCATGGATTAGTTAGCCACAAGGATTCCATCTATGAATTATCCCTTGTCTAGAGGGTCAGTTCAGTCAGAGTGTAAGATGCGATTAGAGGAACAAAGCACAACTCAACAATGCAAAAGAAAGAAAATTTGAAATAAAATTCAATACCAATTTTATCCTATTAAGTGTGAAACTGTACCAAAATAGAGATGTTAATGTATTATTTAGATCAATGAATATCACCATAAAAATTACATAAGAGTTAAGTTGCCTATGCGACATAGTTTTATATTTTATTTCAAGTTTTTGTTCCTTTGTACTCATTGTTTTTTCTTTAGTTGCTTATATTATCCTGGGGATGATGAAGAGTTGTTATATATATTCTTGTTCTTTAATTACTAGAAATATTAATCTGTATTAATTAATTAAGTTTAACAAATTTCAAATATGTTTGTATTTCAGGATGGGCACTATGGTTGTCGAAATGTACTGGAAACATGCTCCTCTTACATGTCGCAATTTCATGGAACTTGTAAGAAGAGGATACTACAATAACACCAAGTTTCACAGAATTATAAGGGACTTTATGATTCAAGGCGGAGACCCAACAGGTACTGGAAAAGGTGGCCAGTCAATTTATGGACCCCATTTTGATGATGAAGTTACATCAGATCTAAAACACACTGGTGCGGGCATACTGTCTATGGCGAATGCTGGACCCAATACAAATGGATCTCAATTCTTTATCACATTGGCTCCTACACAATGGCTTGATGGGAAACATACAATATTTGGAAGAGTACAAAGTGGAATTAATGTCGTCAAAAGAATAGGATTGGTGGAGTGTGATAAATGTGATTGTCCTGTGGATGACGTAAGAATAGAAAGAGCCTATGTTCCTAAATAGCAGGTTATTTTAATAAAAAAAAATATTTTTTGCTAAAATGCTGTTTTTATTTAACAACCTTGTAAATTTGTTTTTTTCATCACTCACCATCACTATCCACAGGACACTAAAAGGAAACGAGGCCGTCCACAGAGAAGATGGGAGGATGAAATAAAACAAACAGCAGGTCCATGCTGGAGTAGAGCAGCAAGGGACGGAAAGTATTGGAAGGAGTTGGAGGAGGCCATTGCCACAAGGCACTCTGTGCTACGAGATTTAATTTGATAAAAATAATAATATATATAACATATAATTTTACAATTTTATTAATTAATTATAAAAAAAAATATAATTATAATATATAATTATTTTAGTAAAAAAAAGAATTGTATAATATTAAGTGCAGAATAAAGGCTTCTTTATCACCATCACTATCACATATGTCTATGAGACAGTGCCATGAACATCACAAAATAGGCCCTTGTTTCGCCATACCCAAAGTCTATGTGTTTAGAGAAAAGTGGAAATATCTAAAAAAATCCTTTTTTTAAATTGGTTAATAACATTTTATTCTGAAAGATTACATGTGTTTGCAGTTATGAAATTGTAATGAGAATAACTAAACTTTCAGGACCAGAGGTTTATTTACAAGTAAAATTTAGTGTTTTATTTCAGTACATACAAATTGTAAATACAAAATTCTGCATATGGTGATTAAAGAAAAATTCTATAACCATTATTATTTTCATCCTTAGAATGCTATATTAGTATTACTTTTTACTATGGCATTCAAAGGATTCCTTTTTGCCAAGCCTATTTGAGAAAAAGGAAATCTTAAAACCATATAGGAAGCATATTCTCCTCTCATTAGACCAGTGTCTAATAATGAGATGAGTTCTTATATTGAAAACCAAATATAGAATGTTTGAATAATAAATTTTTTCAATAGGCCACTCTTTTTCATACTACTTAGGTTTAGCAAAACCTATAAATATAGGTATTGGGACTATTGTAACTATATATTAAATGGATAATATATAGAATATAGCCTTTTCTAGCATTCCTCACTCTAAATGAAGCAGGTCATATACAGACTGATAAAAACACATCAATAAGATGAATGTCTAGACGTATAAAACAATTCATGCGCAGCACTGACGAAGGACTGCAAATTGTAAGTAAAATTAAAAGATTCTATCAACTCTTCGCCTATTCATATAATAACTACAATTAACCCACAACGCAAGTCATAAGTAGGTACAAGCATACTTAATATCAATAGTAGAAGGGGAAGGGATTGTTAGTAATGAGGAGGTTACTCCCCAATGCAAACAGTACCCATACCCTTTCAGATCGACCTCCAAACCTAACCCTCTAGAAAAGATTGAATAATTGCTGATGAATTCGTCACGACGGGTCAACTGACTTGCTTTCGTCCTTACCTATCATCCCTCACTGGTACCCTGCCAGTATGTACATTAGCACAGACGGGGTAAGCATTCCATTATTATACTTTGAGACTAGCGACCCCATTACAAGCAATATAACCTGTCAAATCGATGTCCATCCAGTTTCCACTAGAAATTATCGTAATTAATTCTTGTTGGCAAAATTCATGATGAACTAACCGGCCTTCTGATCTCTTTCTCTCACTTATGATTCTTCAATAGAGAGATGCGGCTAATGATGAGCTAACTGACCTGATTTCGTTGTTATCTATCACTAGTCATCCATACGCCGCCAGCGTATACCGATAGCGCAAGCGAAATTACCATCCCAAGGGGGAAAAGGATTGTTAGCAATGGAGTTTGACAGCCCCATTGCTAGCAATATACCTTATTAGGTCGACCTCCACGTGGTTCCCCCTGAAGACCATCGTGAGCAATTCTTGTTGAATTCGTCACGATGGGCTTACTGACCTACTTCATCTTCACCTTTCATTCTTCACTGGTGCCCCGTCGGTGTATAGCGATAGCATGGGTGGGGTTACTATTCCATTATCATCCATTAAAAAAAAATTACCATCTCATTCATTATCATTATTACAACCGTCGACTGTCAACTGTTGAACATAGGCCTTTCACTTGGGCGATTTTGCCAATAGTTGCCACGCGTAGCAGGCGAGTTGGAAACAGCCTTTAGGCTTTGGTTAATTTTTTATGCCACTAAGAATGGCAAACAAGCTTTCAAACCACCTGATTGAAAGTGATAACCGTCACCTATAGACATGAACAAAACCATGGAAATAACAGAGAATATTGTTTCGCCCATGATTGTACTCCCCATGCATTGTCATTCCTGAGGACTCAGCTGTTATTCCTTTGTACTCTGTAAATACACTCCCACCCTTCAAACCGAAACACAGACGCAAACAACTGCTTCATAGTAGAAACACGAATGGGACAGAGGTACTCAAGCAAACGACTTTTGTACAAAGTCTCTGGCTATGTTTTATGAGGGACACTACTGCCCATTCCTCGATCATTAAGTACTCTAAGTCGTCTCTTATGACAGCCACGGTAAAGGACGGGCGGACCATTCTGTATTTTTTTTTTATGGATGATAATGGAATAGTAATCCCGCTTGCTCTATTGGTATACACTGGCGGGCACCAATAAGGGATGATTAGTGACGATGAAAAGGCAGGTCAGTTAGCCCATCGTGACCAATTCAACAATAAATTAGTCACAATGGTTTCCAGGGAGAACTGCATGAAGGTCGACCTGATTGGGTATATTGATAGCAATGGGGACTAACCTCCTCATTACTAACAATCCTTTCCCCCCGCCCATTCTGTACTTTTTTTAATGAATGATAATGGAATGGTAACCCCACCCGTGCTATTGGTATATATCGACGGAGCACCAGTGAGATGATAGGTGAAGATGAAGCAGGTCAGTTAGCCCATCGTGACGAATTCAACAAGAATTGTTCACGACGGTTTACAGGGGGAACGACGTGGAGGTCGACCTAATAGGGCATATTGCTAGCAATGGTGCTGTTAAATTCCATTGCTAATTTTTTTATGGCCTTTCCCCCCATTCATTCTGTACTTTCTTTAAATGGATGATAATTTTTTTGTTGGGTGAAAATGGTATGGTAACCCCGCCTGCGCTAACGGGATACGCTGTATGAATGATAATGGAATGGTAACCCCGCCTGCGCTAACGGTATACGCTGGCGGGGCACCAATGAGGGATGATAGGTGACAATGAAAAGGCAGGTCAGTTGGCCTATCGTGATGAACTCACTTGGAATAGAACACCATAGTTTCCAGGGGAAACCACGAGGAGGTCGACCTAACAGAGTGTATTGCTAAAAATGGGGCTACTAATCCTTATTTTTAACAATCCTCTCGCCCATTCTGTACTAGGATCACACAGTAATATCATGCCATTATCACCCTATATACTATTATCCCTCGCTGGTGCCCCAATACCGTTTACCGATAGCGTTGAACGGAGTTTTAGAGTTACGTTAAGTAGTGCTCCCACCAAGCCACCACTAAATGATAGGCTCGGGTGGAAAGAGATTGTTAGCAATGGAGTTTAACAGCCCCATTGCTAGCAATATGCCCTATTAGGTCGACCTCCACCTTCCCCCTGGAAACCATCGTGAACAATTCTTGTTGAATTCGTCACGATGGGCTAACTGACCTGCTTCATCCTCACCTATCATCTTTCACTGAAGCCCCGCCGGTGTATATTGATAACGCGGGTGGGGTTGCCATTCCATTATCACCCATAAAAAAATGATGAGCTCGGGGGAGGGGGGGGGGAAGGGATTGTTAGTAATGGAGACTCAGAATGCAATTGTTAGCAATGTACCCAACCAGGTCGACCTCCTCGCGGTTCCCCCTGGAAACTATCATGGTTAATTCCTGATTAATTCATCATGATAGGCTAATTGACCTATTTTTATTCTCATCTATCACCCTTCACTGATGCTCCGCCAGCGTATCCCGTTACCGCAGGCGGGGTTACCATTGTATATTCACTCATCAAAAAGAAAAAAAATGATGAGCTCTAGAAACCCTCGTAATTAGTTTCTGGACGAATCATCATGCAAAATTTATATATTTTCATTATACCTTATATATGTTATACAATAAATAATATATTATTATATTTATATATAAAATGATATCTTCTATACGGTCCAGCTTGATATAAATTTAATCCTGTTTCTCGAGTGCTACCTATTGAGTGGTGGCCCCACTGAAAATCAGCGCTGTAGTACCACGCTGCAGCTTGCGCTGAGTGGGGACCATTTCAGTTACTACCACATAATTATTAGTTTAATGTATAATATTGTAATTAATATTGTTGTTTGTGACTAAATAAATGATTTATTATTATTATTATTACTTCAAAAAGAAAAGAAACTTTCTGAAAGTGAAATTTTTTTAATAAATCAGTTTCTTAGGTACCTATTACAGACATAGTGGTATCTATTTAAAAAAGTATGAAATATTCGATATAATTCTCATTTTAAATCAAAGATTCAAAAACACGGTCTATTAGCCATTTTTTAAACTCAGAACTGCGACTATAGCTACTAACATAGCTATTATAATTTATCTGTGGTCGCAATATCCACCACCCATAGGTAAACGATAGATAGTCGATTTTTTTTTTATTTCATAGATTAAGGAAGAATCGTAACTCCAACACAAATAAAAAAAAAAGTACTTGTGTTTGCCAAGTTGCCAACTTTTGCTTTGGCATTTGTTCGTTTTGCAATTGCAATTGAAAAGAAAATAAACCTATGAAAACTTCAGTGCATGCTGTTAAATTAATTTAAATAGAATGTTTAAACGCTGTCATTAATTAGGACGCCAATTTGTGTGTCAATGTGTATGTTGCAAGCCTCTTGTCTTGTTTGTGAGTGCGCAAAGGAAGTGACATTTACATTTTGGTTTACATTTTACAGAAATCTAGTGATAACAGTGGGCCGGACTTCCAACCAAGTTGTTGTAATAGTGCGTTTAAGATATGGAACCGGACCATCAACCAAAACTAAGTCCAATCAGGGCTTTTCAAGGTATTTAGCGATTAAGACACTCGCGACGTATATGAGTTGTTTGTTAGTGACTAAATAATGTACCTGTTATCATGTTCGCAGTACTTCACGGACCGAGCCTAGAAGCTGAAGAGGCAAATACCAGCCTTTCGGAGTACCATGACTATGAGCCCAGGTTGGAGTTTGATGACTCTGAGCTTACTCAAAATTCATACCTAGGTAAGTATCTATTTACATTGTTTATATTATATTAATGAAACAACCTTACAACAAAATAGTAAATAAACTACATATATATAGGGTCTCTATGCAACTGTTTCACAAAAACAACTTTTTTATCAATGTGTCTCTAAATTGATACAAAAATATGTTTCAAAGTACAAGATAAACAATGCATAATGATGCTTATCTTTACTAAACAGAGTGAATGTGCTGGTTTACAACCAGTTAATGTTGTGATCTTAACAAATCATTTTTATAAAAGGAAAAATTTTATTATTTAAAAATTTCACTGCAATGTTGAAAAATAAAGTGTCATGGCTTTTATGTCTTTATATTATGAAATTCTTTTACAAAAAGTCTCAATAATTGCCATTTTTACACTTGGACACTGGGAAGACTTGTGTTTAGTAGTGGACAATTAAAGGCTGATATGATCTTATTCTATATAAGGAAATGCCAGTCATATTCTGATGTTTATATTTTCTGTCCATTGATTAAAGAGTATGACAAAAGCATTTCTAGTCATATTGGCTGAAAATATGAAAGAGTACTAAAAAAATAGTAAAAATATTAGTTATGTTGAGGCTGCTCACATAATCCTGGAATGTGAGGCTGCGGCCCATCAATGTTTAGAAATCCTTGGATCGGTGAGGTCACTCCATGAGGCCTGTAAAGAACCCAGGAAGTTTCTGCACTTCTGGGCGGAGCTAGGTTGGCGGTACTAGCCACGACTCATACACACAACGGCCTAAATGAGAGGCTAAGCGTGGAAAATAGAGTCCTTTTCACATTCACATTCAATATTAGTTCATGACCTAAGCTGGCATAAACCTTGTTTTCGTCTTTTAGTATTATTGTAGTAAAACTATTGAATTATAACTTTTATATTGAATTATAGTAAAATTTAATCAAGTCTTGGTGCTTTATGTACAACATTTAGTTGAAAAACTTATTGAAAACTATTTTATTCATGATTGAAAATATACCAAGAAAATAAAATTTACAAAAAGTAGTGATACTTTTTGTAAATGTTTATGCACACATCCACATATGCTAAAATTCTTTGGCCTGTAAATTATTATCATCACTGGCATTGGTCATCAAATTATAAACAGGAGTGTAGGATAAATTAATCTTGTTATTTAAATATTAAGAACCTCTTTCTTTACTATTAATAGGAACACTTATAAGAATACTTATTACCGTTTTAAGTAAAAATATTTGAGCAGTGGTTGGTGGGCTAGCACTTTGACTTTACTTTGATTTCTATGTGATTATAGACATAAAATGTATTTTTGTTTTTAAATAATTGAAAATAGCCACTATTTTAATTAATACATTAATATCAATTTATAAGTAACAGTGTATATTTATATAATATCAGAAAAATAATTCTAAATTCTAATTTATAAATTGACTTGATGTGGGAAATTTTTATTTTAATTATTTTCTACACCGAGAAAAAAAATGTATTTTATTTTGATTTAAAAAAAATGTCAGCGGAATGTCAAATTAGCTAACTAAATTTTGATATATACTTGATGCTTTATCTATATCATGTAAGCAGATAAATTAAATTAGATGAAATGAGCTGTTTTACTTGAAAAATGTTTTTAACAAAGTATGGAATATATCAATATAATTACATTTGTATGTCTTATTAATAAATAAGTAGAGTCTCAGTAGAGTATAATAAAATTATTTGTCTTTTCATTACTACAATGTTAATACATTTACTTTTAGGTACAAAGTTGCTTAATCGATAAATATATTTTTCCTAGGGTAACAATAGTTTTCATTCATTCATATATAAATACTTTTTTATTATAGGCCCCAATGTCATCAAGTTTAAAAGGCAATTAGGGCACTGTGAGTTAAGTGATAATTTGTATCACTGACTTGTATCGAACCTTTCAAAGTGCTTGTGCAATATACACTTTGTTAGTGAGCTTTTAAAATATTTTTATTAAATGTTTAGTTTGTATTTTACTTGATATTATCAAATTTTGTAATAATAGATTAACAGATTCAGAGTACTAGAATAAACTTTTTAAATTTTAATTCTATTAACAGACACTAAAGATTATTCATTAAAATAAAATGTTTATTTTCTATATGATTTAAACTTAATATTATTATCATCTAATTTCTACATTCATATATTGGACAAAAAAGATCTTTATGACTTTAGAACATTAAACTGTTTTTATATTTAAGCTCCGTTGCCTCCTGAACTCATGGATTTACCAGACTATCTTTTGCAACGTTCTGCAAGTGATGGAACCATTGAAGAAAACTTTGAAGCAGAACTATCCAGAGGGCCAGAGGTCTATGCTGAGGTTGGTATAAGTAATTTTTTTATACCATGAAGGTGCCACACTAGCATACACCCTGTCTGTTGGTAAATGGTCACTGTAGTCTATAGATGCCTGCAACACTAGTAGTCGACCCTGTAGAAATCTTAATATTTTTTTTTGCGGAACCCAATACTGTAGTCTCTAGGAGAAACTTCTGCGGGCTTAACCACATTCTATAGTCTGAAAAACTATATACTTTACGTGACCATTTACTTTCAAGCATATGATGATGAATTTCTTGTCAGTGACGAGCGGTACGATGATAAAAGGTGGCTGTGAGTATCATTTTAAACAATTCCTCAAAATATAATCTGTTCTACAAATTGTAGAATAAACAAGTTAATAAATATTGATAATTACGTCTGACGCTTCTGTGGTAACCGAATAAGAATTCACCACTCAATTTCACCCTTAGGATATCATAAAAGACAGTTTACAGATTAAGACTCAGCATAGCAATATGAGGAAAAGAAAACTTGAAACCCTATATTAAGCCGTCTGGCCCATGTGAAATCGAATAGAAGCATTTTGAGATTAATCGTGACTAGAATATTATTGGATTGTTACAGATAGTATGAATATATATATTATTTCTTACATAATCATCTTTTACCACACCGGAAATCCTCTTATTGAATAAGATTCGTTCCCATTAGTGGTATGTTGATCAGTTGTTGTAAGTAAAGTTTAGTCTTCAATCTATAATACTGTGTATTTATTAATTTGAACTTTAGTAAACAGTATAGGAAAGTGTTCAAGGTGAAATTGTGTACCAGCTTATCTTTTGAGATGAAATCAATTTCAAAATAAATTCTATTTAATTAGTATGTGATGTTTTTATGACTTTATTGTAGGAAGGAATATTGGTGAGTAGAGTTCAAATTAGCCAGATTCAATAAAGTGTTAGTTACTATAATTTTTTAAAGGTAATTTAAATCTCTAGACAAGTGTCGAACAAATAAATTTGTGAATAAATGTATGTTGGCATGTCTATGAGATAGAATGAGATTCAAGATGTGATTTGTTCTTTCATATGTGTCTTATAATGTAAACGTGCTACAAAGTTTTAGTTTTTACACAGATAGCGACATCGTCTCTTGACGACGACTCCTTTGCCGAGCTTAACGGTACAGGCTTGGTGGAAGTGGTCGGTGACGACGAGATTGGACGTCGGATCATTGTAGTATCGGCCTGTAGACTTCCGCCCAGGGAAACCTTGCACCAGGACAGACTATTGAGGTCAGTGTTTTAAGCAGAGCTAGATTTACCAAAAGGTAATGTAGGCCACGGTCTATAGGTCATAAATGTTAGACGACTCTCGCTTACGCTTTTATTCGCTCATACCAACATTGTATAATCCGATTTTTTTTCATCCGTTTATATCCGTATTAACTTTTGTCCGCAACTTTATACGCGTGGATTGTGGTAGTAAACAGAAACAATAAGACGGGGTACTTCTAGATGTTGTATCAAGAAAATGCATAAGGTTTTTGTTAGGTCTTCAGGAACATAAATGTGATAACCGCATCTATTTTGATGCAGTTGTTTTTGAGTGATGTCGGAACAAATATACAGATAAACAAAAAATTTTATGACTTTCAATCAGTTTTTCTAAAATATCTATAGACATCGGCAAGTATGAAATTATAACTTCATTATTTACTAGCTTTTACCCGCAACTTCGCCCGCGTGACCGGGTTATGTTCACTGACCGCGACAAAAAGTAGCCTATAACTTTCTCCATCCCATATAGTAAGTAACTAAATTTCAAAGTAATTGGTTAAGGCATTAAGACGCTGACAGATAACAAGTAAACAAACTCCCTTTCACATTTATAATATTAGTAAGAATTAAATATAGATTTGGTATTCTATAACGAAATCGAAGATCGTAATAAAATACGGAATAATATAATAGACGTATAAATAAGGATAAAGAATGGCTTCCCGTAGTTGTTCCTTCGTCCATCAAGTATTAAGTATCGTAAACTTACTGCGTCAAAAATAGGTAGGACGTATTGAAGGCCAAAGTATACGTCATCATGAGAACATAATAACTGTTTTTTTTTATTCAGTCCCTTCTTCAGGATTTCAAAAAGTTATAATTGAGTGGCTTTTATCCGAACCTAAAAACTGGTATATGTTTGATCAAATTCCGCCAAGCAAATGATAAGGTACATCTTGACCTTTCCATTGTATGTATACACATAGAAGATAGATTTCTTTGTTGATTGGACGGTCACAATGATTAATCAACATCGATGAAACTGATATTGGTTTAAAAATATTAGATTTTTGTACGTAAGTTCCTTGTATAATTCACTATAAAGAATTTTCTAAATATTGTGAGATAGGAAGTAAATGATTACATGCAACTAATGCTGCGAGTAACAATAATTAATTATTAATGTTATAATGCATACTTCTGAGAAACAACGATATTGTATGCACAATATCATTGTTTCTCAGACAACTGATGGAGAAAAGACCTCTATTTAAAAAAAAAAAAAAAAAAAACTATATCCATTCTAGAATAGATTATTTGCAAATTCTGGAATCTGCATTAGATATTACAGTAGATTCATACGTACTCTCTGTTATTTTTGGCTTCATGAGCAATCCCATTAATAAATCAAGGTTTTAAATGTTTGTTTCCATTTCAAGGTGTTGATACGCAAGGCGATTTATCGTGTTGTCTTTTATAATACAAGTAAATATAATATTAATATTCATTTTGCATGTCTCAAAAGTAAAATAGTAAAGTATTTTTATATACCACAAAAGTAGCAAACAAGCATACAGCCCGTTTGATTATAAACGGTTACTGTAGCCTATGAACGCCTGCTATACTAGGGATTTTTTCATCCTGATCCTGGGTATTTCAGGTAGAGTTTCGGTTCCTAAATTGCGAAAACCGAGAATAGAACTAGAAATTTGGTGTATTTTTTGTACGAGCAAAATATATTACTTTTTTGGTCGATACAAACATGGTATGTTTATGAAAACTTCACTGAATGGTGTTAGTATTTCATAATTTTTTTATTTATTTCTTTTAGGTACCTGATGTTCACGCTTGATAAATATGTAGAACAGGACTACAGTGTTGTCTACTTACATTGTGGGCTCAACAGTAATAACAAACCACCCCTTTCATGGTTATGGAAAGCGTACAAAGCATTCGACAGAAAATATAAGAAAAATCTTAAGGCGTTATATTTAGTTCATCCGACCAACTTCATAAGGATCGTGTGGCAAATGCTGAAGCCGGCTATAAGTGTAAAGTTTGGCAGAAAAATGATGTATGTTAATTACTTACACGAACTACAACAATATTTAAACTTGGACAAACTTTGCATTCCGGAACCAGTGCTCGAGTGAGTATTTCTTTAAATATGCTTCTAATATATCTGTTGTCATAAGTTTGTTATATTCCTCTAACATAACTACCTATATTTTATTAGAAGATTTATAAGTATCGGTTGTCGAATACAATCGACAATTGATCGATTTAATATGGCCACAGTTAATCCATGTCTTTTCTAATTAATTCGCTTTTGTTGACACGATGCATTGTCAGTCACATTCTTAAATAGGCATGAGTGTTTTAATTATTATCTTCTTGAATAAAATGATTTTAGGTAAACAATATTTTTTTTTTACAAATTACGTCACATATAAATTATAAAGTGACGTGAGTGTTACTCAAACATGTTGTCATTCCAAAAGGCGTATGGTTTTGTCTTTTAACTCCATTCTCATAAAATTTACTGTCATATCTTACCTTTATAGACAAAGACCTGTATAAGATAGAAATACTCATACCAGATATCTTCGTATACGCAAAGGTGGTCGCACAGCTATGACCATATTATTTATTACCACTTATTATTATTTAACAGATATGACAAGCTACTTCTGTCCAAGAACCCTAAAGCGGCAGAGATCGCTCGGCTGCAGTCTCAGCGAAAAGAAACATTACCAGACCAAAGTGACGTTAAGTCTATACCCAAAGCAAGCCTTTCGCCACCCCCTACCCAGCAGTTCGGCGTGTCACTACAATTTGTTAAAGAGAATAACGCCAATATGGTAGACTCGATACCGCCTGTGGTCAGACAATGCGTTGAGTTCTTATCGCAACCGGACGGTGAGATAACATTAATTGCCCAAGTTGTTGATTTTATGAGTCATTGTCCAATGTTGGTTTTGAAACGACATTAGAATAATAACGATTGTGACGTAAGAATGACGTAAGACGATCGTGAGGAGCTGTTGTCTGTTTCAGTAGAACGTAATTGAAACGTAAACAAATGAATAAATCATCAGACTAAAAGACAGTTGGCCGATGTCCAATAGTAGCGAAATGAAAAATCAATTAATTGATTAATTTTGTATGTGTTTCTGTGATAATTTTAACAAAAGTTGATTTTTTTCATTTAATTGTAATGAAGTTCTTTACACCAGATATACAAAATTAAGATTGTAGTACATAATTTTAGTGATACAGAAGGCGATCTTATCGTTAACCTATCCCTTTCATACAACATTTGGGTAGATAGAACTGTTTAGCAATGGTAAATGAATGACTAAAATAATAAAATGGTAATGTGACTGTTACAGCTTTGGAAACTGAGGGCTTATTCCGTCGTTCGGCCAACATATTGGTTATTAAAGAACTACAGCGCGCTTGCAACAAAGGCGAGACGATATCATTCAGAAATGATCCCCACAATGCAGCAGTATTGTTAAAGACATTCTTAAGGGATTTGGAAGAACCTCTCATGACCTTTGATCTATACGATGAGATACTGAAATTCCAGAGTATGTAACACTTTTAAGGTTATCGCAGTTATAGATATACTATATGCATAAATGACTGGCTCTCACTATTATTAGTTTATTTGAGCACGCTGATAATTCGAACCTAATTGCAAGGATCATGGTCACAATGTAACTAATGAAGTAAATAAATAATTGTGATAAGAGTCCGTCAGTTGTGTAATCTTTTATATATATATATATATATATATATATATATATATATATATATATATATATATATATATATATATATATATTAAGATCTATTGTTTTAAATTTAACTTGCCATTTAGTTAATGTATTATAATTCTACCCAACTATCGAAAAACGCGTAATTTGTTTTGAATGTATATATGGCCAGATATATTTATACACCTACATACTTGTTAACGCGATTTATAGCCTTAATGGATTGATACATTTTCATAACTGGAACGTTGTTAGAGTCGTTTTAATTTATTAGACTGCTAGAGGCTACATAATGATAGTATAAAATAAGGATATATATGGCAGTGGTAAATTTCGAAAAACTTGACTTGGAAAACTTAAATATTGTGACTTTTAAATAGCCTAGGATTTATATTACGATCTAATCGAAAGTAATAAAAGCTATGTCTATAGACATGAATACTCCTATAATAAACGGACAGAATATACTGAATACATGGCACTTCTCATATGTTAGCATTCTATAAAATACAATTCATAACTTTCATATGTTGTTCAAATAGACTTGTTTACAAGCACTTTTAAATTGTCATATTTTTTTAATCTATTACTGCAAGGGGTACGTCAAATTCACACTTTTAATTGCATATTTTTTAAACAATCTAATTACCAAATTCATACTTCTATAAGTCTGATGTATATGAAGCATGTAATTATGCAATTTAATTCGGTACACACACACACACACACACACACACACACACGCACGCACGCACGCACATCACCGTACTCTCCATAATTAACTCTGTCAACATTTACTTTTTCCATTGTTACTTATTCACATTGTCAATAAGTGTTGTTACTTCTATGCTCACATTTGTCTTCTTAGTAAACTATATTTGAATAAAATGGTACATCACGTGTTATATTATATGTATAAAGACTTACTACTGTTACAAAGTATTTAATGTAAACAAATTATTTGTTCGCGTGACTGTATGTTGAGTGAACAAGATAAGTAGTGCCATATGTATTTCTCTATTCGAAATGTTACATGTATATTAAATTTCATAATCGGAGGAGACATTATGGCACCAAAAGTTAACAAATTAATAACTCACTTTAATGAATAAATGAGTATATTTGCGTTATACAATACAGGGAATAAACAAGACAATAAAGGTAATGATACAGTTGTATAAGTACAGTAAAGTGGTGTTATCAAGGAGTGATCATAATTTCAATTGTAGCAATACCACTTGTTAACTTGTCATTTCAAGTTATATAAAAAATAAAAACTGTCATGGTTACTACACAATGTAGTAGAAATATATGTACAATCAGTATATAAGTTTGTTTAAACTACAAATTGATGAACCAAGCTTTTTTTTTACCAAAAAACTCATCATAACTGCGTATCGGTGAAGCAATGAAATTTTTTATTAGTGTCTACTCATAAAATTCGTTTCAGATAATAATAGTCGGATTACTATTATTATATTACTAGTTTTTACCCAAGAATTCGTCCATGTGACCGGGATACAGTAAAAAGTAGCCTACATCCTCTGTCGCATGTAGTATGTGTGTTTCATAGTGATTGTTTAAGCTGCTAAGGCGCTATGAGATAACAAAGAAACGAATAAACTCACTTTCATGTTAATAATATTAATAAGGATGACACTGACTGCTAAGGCCTTTTGTTATTATTTTTTTACATAAAATTGTTTCAATATTCATAGCGGCCAGTTCCAATCATACTGTGAATTTATATATTTAAATCAATTGATATGATTCCAGCATGGTCCAACCGGGAAAAACCGAGGCAGGTGAAGATATTGATTCTGGAAAGGCTGCCGTTAGATAATTACAAATTGCTGAAATATATTATTCAGTTTTTATGGAAGGTATAGTGACAATTATGTGATGTATTTTAATTTAATATGTTAATAACCAATAATGACTTGAAAAGTTCAAGTATTTCTGTAATTATATCAATATATTTTAATTTTTTTAATCTGCTTGCAATGAAAATATTTTGGAATATTTTTTTTAACAAGTTTTGTTAATAAGACTATTTTGACAATTTTACTTACAACTTTATTTTAATTTTACTGAAACAAAATATTAAGAAAAAAATAATAGTAATACAATATTTACCGCATTATTACGTTATTTATCAAATGAGTAATAATAAATCAATATCAATATATATTAATTTAGTTTTATCACATATTTAATAAGTTGAGCCTATCGTATGTCTTTATAATAGTATCTTTTACCTTTAACAGGTGCAAGATAGGAGCTGCCTGAATAAAATGACTAGCAGCAATCTCGCCGTTGTGTTCGGCCCGAACTTGGCATGGCCACCGAACGGGCAGATGTCGCTGCAAGCTATCGCTCCCATTAATGCATTCACCGACTTCTTATTGGAGAATCAAGAGTCTATATTCATTATTTGAACACAAACATCACCGGACGTATACCTTCCAAAAAGTAAGACCCCTCCGACTCATATAGAGACGGCCGCGGAGCATAACAAGACAAAAGTGAAAAAGTCTCGCGACTGTCATTGTATATGAATTATGAATACAGGTAATATCCTCACGAAATATCTAATGTTTGTACCTGATGTCCTTAGAGAGTGATCAAAGTTTAAAGCTAATAACACACTAACGTCTTACGATGCGCTGGTAGTCATCCGGTTTGTTAGATGAAATGTTACGACACTGTAATGTGTCTTAAGTACTAATAATAGTACCTATTTTTTTTTTTTTTACTTGACATTATTAAGAGTTATTTGTAGGGATGCCTTTTAATGAAATTAAAATTATTATCAAATGAACTTAATCTACTTTGATTGTCGTCCACATCGACGGTTGTTCGTCAGACTTTGTAGATATCTATGCCGGCGTAACCGAGAAGTTAATTACATCAAACAGTAAACATGCAGCGCGAAAGACTAATATGTAAGATTTTAGTCAAAAGCGCTCAAATTTAGTATAAAAAAAAAGATATACAAAAAGAAGTTTGATTCTAAAGTGGCGTTCATTTAACTTTGTCACTAATAGAATATAATAGATTATAAAAAAAAATCGATAGTGTTCATCCAGAATAATTTGAATATCGACCTTAATTAATAGAGTCGATATGAAACTTTATGGAATCGATTATAATCTTAATTGACGATTTAATTGTAAATGACCCTTGATAGTATTGTTCCAGTACTTGCTATATTGTACAGATATTTCATGTGATTGATCATATAATCTATTATTAGATTATTTGCGCTTAAATACTATATATGCCAATCCACAAGACATTGGTATGTTTTTAGCTGTACTGTTGTAAGGTAGATGCCATTTAATACAAATAATTGTTAATACAGCCCATATTAATGTAATGTATTATTATTAAATTATATTTAATGTTTTAGATTAAGAGAAATAGAATTATATTTGTAACGCCAAATGCGAACTATCGTGTAATTATTTATATTGTACTTTGATGTTATACAATTTTAAATATGAAATTTAACATTGAAATATGGTTTCCATTACTAAATCTCGCAGATGTAATATCGAAGTATAATATTACTTAAAGTATAATTTGTTTTAATCGAAATTTAACCAATATGTTATGTCTAATTAGGTTATATAACTCGCTGAGTTGTAAAATCTCGTCGTGTATAATATCGCATACAAATTTTATTAATTACCTTAATATAAGTTTTTTTTTAATATAAATTGGTTATTATCCAACAACTACATTACGTACACATAGTTGTACACAACTATTGTTGTACAATATGTGCGTAATGAAAATGAAACTAACAACAATAGATAACATATATGAATTATAAGGATTCGTTCAGTATGTACTGTACCCAAATCTTCATACCGAACTTATTAGGTGGATCAAAAATCGTAATGATCATTATTTTTTTTTACTTAACCACTACAAATATAATAGAACACTGGTAAAATGGTAGTCTGAAATGATTGATATAGGTCTTTATAAACAACAAACTTTATTTGGTGAAATTATTTTAAACTTTTTTATCTCTTTTTTTTAATTGAATGTGTCGGTGTGAGTATATAGAAAAAAAAAACAGTCATTTTAATGACAAACAAATACGGAGTCTTTATTTATTTATACTTTTTTTATTTACTATAGTATTTTTTCGGTCTAATATAACGAGATAAAGTCAGGGCCATTATATTAATTTATAACGCATATTAAAAATTTTTGTTTCCAATTGTTCCCAATTGAACGAACGCTATATTGTCGCTTGTGCTTGTATATTGACAGTTCTAGGTCTTTCTTCACAATCTTTCAGCCACTAGAACTAGATGAAGACCACCCAGATCAGAATGTATAATACAGACTTCGAACTTCCCACCCAATTCTTGTTACTATAGTACTCTTACTATGAATGTATCCCCTATTTATTCCACTTCACATAACATTTCTATTCTTTCTATACTCCAACGGCCAGGAACGTATACTGCTAGTGCATCTTTTTCTTCAATGAGTCCTCAAGTAATAAAAAAAAAACAGACTATTCGACGGAGTATGCCTTCTACTTCTGGCTTTAACCTCTTAACTGTTTCTTTTCTTCCTGTTAGGGAAATGTGGAATTATACATTCGGAATACCTATTAAGCGGATACAAAATATTAAATAGGACGTTGCAAGAAAATACGAGTACAGACTCTAAAGCGAATCTATTTATTAATTTACTTTTTTATACTTATCTTGGTGTATGTAGAATAATATTATTTCTACATTTGCGTATCAGTATTTCTTAAAACACATGTAACAATTTGTAATAGCTACTGAACGCGGAAACAACGAGAAATGTAGTTACTATTAATTGTGAATTACTCCAATGTGTTTTCTTTGGGTTTGCATTGCATTTTTAAAAATTATTCGCGCGATTTCATTTTTATTTATTACGTTTGCCGCCTCTACGTGTATGTGTGTGTGTTTTTGTAGAGTTATGTTTTAAATTCAATTAAGCTTTATTATCGTCCTGCCAAAATGAAAGTTATTGACGGTACAATATAATTATTCTAAACCTTAATATTATAATAGTGTATGGTTTGTTTTAATTCATTTTATCTAGATTCATAAGAATTATGGGATAGGTATGTTAGTGCAGATATCCATTGTATCAGTTACTGACTTTAAATTCGAAATGGAGTATGGGTGCCGATTCTGTACTTGTGTAAATCGATTTTAAGTTAGTTGACGCGGCACCACGACTGTCTTTAATGAGGTTAGAACAGTTACACAATCTCTTTACTTGACCCTTGTCTCCCTAGACAAGTGATAAACAAATTTATTGATGGGCACGTTTTTCTTAGCGTTCGTATGAGAAAGAATGTATATCGTGTTCTACCTCTTGCATGTGGTAGCGATGACGTATACACAACTTGTCTAGAGGGACTGGCGTGCTTTATCGCAACCACGTAAAAGTGTAATAATATATATCGTCAATGCCATGATGTCATATCAAAGCATTCTAATGAACGGCAAAAATATTCATAGTAACAAATCCTAGTTTTTGTATGATTGGTTAAGGGGAATTATAAATATATAAAAAAATATATATAACACTGTTGATAGGTAAAGAACGCCTTACGGTGTTAAGTCCGCCATATGTACACATGTATATTAATATTTAAATGAATAAATTGTAAAAATAAATGAGCATTCTATCGCAAAGATATATATTAATTTACTATTTTCTAGCAAATTCATCATAAATAATAAAATGAGAATAAGAATTCTTCGTGACATGTACCATTAAAAACTGACTGATAGAAATTACTGGATCTGACTTATTGTCATCAGTGTTTAATGTTGATGACAAGTGATAAATATAATACAGGACGATCAATGTAAATAGATAGTGATTATTTTCAATATATATATATATCCCAAATGATAATCATTTACGAATTTATGTTTTTTGTATTACCACTGAACTGCAGATCTGCGTTTATTTATATGCAGTGCTTATTATGTGGATGGATAATGACGAGTCAGGAAAAAGTCTTTTATAATTTTTTTTTATTACATTTCATAAGTTAAACGTACGCACCTAGATATTTTTTTTTCTGTGGACCAAACATTTTTACATAAATTTGTAGGTATAATGTGTCAAATTTTTGGAATAATTATTATAACTAAAAATGTAAATAAAAATATTTGCATTATTAATGCCAAGTTAAAAATTTGAACTTTCGTGGCAGTTATTATAGAAGGAAGTACTGCGATGAAAATTGTCGTAAATGAACTGTTGAGGAAAGGGAAATTAAAATATTCGGGAACTTATCTAACCACCAACACTCTAAATCCGTATCGTAATGAAAAAAAAAATCGAAAATGTAAAAAAAAAGAATTGGCTTCAGACCAGTTAGAGAAATTCAAATAGAGTTCATTTGTGTTATGAGTAATTGGGCATAATAGGTCGTTTATCCCTAATCTGAAAAAAAATTTCAAGTATACTTTTTTTATTTTTTTTTTTCAAGTAAACTTAAATATAAACACATTTTTTAATTTACCGCCCAGTATGGAATGCAATTTCATCTGACATTCAAATTCTGTAAATATTAATTTATAGAAATTTTGTTATTCTGTAAGTTGGCTATATCTTCACCAATATGAACAAGGCACATGCACCTACTTCCTTATCTTATTGAACTGCAATCGTGAACATGTTTATATTTTAACTGTTTTATGCGCGTATTAAACGACATTGAAGATAATATCAAAGTGTACATTTGAATGCATTTTGAATTTATATTTATTATTATTAGTTGGTCTGTTTGGTTTTAGTTGATCGGAACGGATCGACTGAAATCTAAATGAATTATCTATGTCCATAGATTTCGAACACTTAGGTATTTATAAAATGTAAATGGCTGGGCGGGTACAAATTTTCAGCATAACAGATGCAATTTCTTTATTATTATAAATTGGTTGGGAATACCCTATATTTATTTATTTGAATAAATTCTTTTTCTTCGAGTTCCACTCTTATTAATCTTTTTATATGACATAAAGGCAGTCTTAATTGCTCTTATCTTGTCATACCTCCAATAGCCTTGAAGCAACCGCTCTGAAGAGTGAGGTAATCTTCCAAACCAAACCACTCCCGCAGGTTCATCAGGCAGAAGTGCCGCCTTCTCCCGGCACCTCTTTTATCAGCAAGCTTACCTTGGATAATTAGCTGGATTACTCTAGTTATATATAGTTTATTCAAATAAATATAGAGTACTATATACCCTATAGGTTTATAATATGTCAATAATTTAAATATACAATCTATTCAAACAATATCTGGTCTAAGGATCTCGTCACCATCCAATCGCAGCGTATAGACCAAATCAAGGTATCAGCAATGAGAATTGCTGCATATTATTTTCAAACTAAATGCTTTAAAATGAGTCTATGAAGTATACCTAAGGTTTAGTAATTTCCAATCAAGCAACGGCTTGGCTGAGGGGAAAGATGGTAGTTCTGATGTGAACTACGATAATTACGTATATGAACTACAAAGAGCGAAGTTCAACTTCCCTTTAAAATTATAGAAGATGATAAATAATGTTCTAAATATAATTACGTATAATTAAGAAATTACTATTAGTATTTAAGTTTATATAGTAGACATGCGGAGGTAATTTACTATGTCATGGTAAACGTGTATACCAAAAATAACAATAGCTGTATGATTGTAATAGTATTATTAACATTGTCGAAACAAAGTTTAAAAATGTTAGGGGTTTTTTTAAGAATATTTAGTGGAAAATATCTTTATGATTTAGTTGTTAAGAATTTAACTAATATGTTCCTCGATTTGAGTGAATTGTCTATTATATTATCTTTAATATACTTGAAATTTATATGTTTTATAATCTTTAGGCTTATTGGAAAGTAAATCTTGCGTGTCAGAACACAAGAATTATTTTCTGTTGCAACGGAATATTTTCTCAAGGACCATTATGTAAGTAGTTTATCTTGAAATAATATTTATAATAATTGTGTATCACACTATTAAAAGCGTTCGTACTGAAAACTGTCAATATTAGAATTTTCTGTTAGTTTTCAGAACAATTTTTAAAATGTGAAATTATATTGAACTGAAAAGTTTATCACGTATTAGTAACTGTCACTTAATATTTCGATGTTGAAAATAATAGAAGATTAAAGGAAAATCTATATAATTCAGAGATATTGAATATTGTCAGATAATATAGAAATTGTTAGAATTCATTATGAACGCTCTTAATATACAATAGTCATCACGTCTTCCATACACTTTCAGTTTTAAAGTATTTCAAATTTGAAGGATGATTTACAGTCTTTATACTCATGAAATATATATATGTACATAAAAATACAATAGGAATTGAATGTACTCTTGACTCCATTCTAGAAAGGCTTTTAATTATTATAATGATAATGGAATGGTAATCCCGTCTGTATTAACGGTATACACTAGCGGGGTACCAGTGAGGGATGGAAAGTGAGAAGGAAAAGGCAGGTTAGTTAGCCTATTGTGATGAATACACCTGGAATCAACCACGACGGTTTTTAGGAGGATCACGTGGAGATTGACCCGACCTGACCTGATTATATACCCTATATTACTAGCAATGGGATCACTAGCATAATCCGCATTACTAACAATCCGTTTTCATTTTCGTCAGGTCGACCTCTTTGCGATTTCCCCTGGAAACCATTGTGTTCAATTCCAAGTGAATTCATCACGATGAGCTAACTGCCCTGCCTTTTTATTCTCACCTGTCATCCCTAACTGTTACTCCGTCAGCGTATACCGTTGGCGCAGGCGGAGTTTCCGTTCCATTATCACCCATTTAAAATATAGTGTCAATTTAATCTGTTGACTAAAACATTAAGGGTTAATGATTTCAGTTGTATAGTTTTAAAATTTTGAAAACCTATGAACTAACCAAGATTTACGTTGTTAGTAACAGAAATACAATTCGAATGAAACATTGCGTTGTAGGCAGGCTTTGAAGTTTTAACTCTTCCTAAAGCACAAAACTTATTGATAGAGGTTGAAACATAACTTGTGTTATGACGTCATTTAAAATTAAAGGCGTGTTCACAGTGACAAAATATGACAAAGCAAATAAACATTGGGTGTATGGCCTAACTGGATTGATAGTTTTCTCGATACATTTCTAAATATTTATTACTATATGTATATATATGAAGTAACAATAATAAAATATATTACAGACTATAAACTAAATTACGAATATATAAATACACACATATAACTGTACTATAAGTGTCTTTATAGACTGGTGTTATAATGTTTATTTCGTTTGTAACGCTTTATCTGAATATAACATTATGTACATAAAGTTATATTTAGATTCTATTGTATCTATACTCACAGGTGTATTGTGTGTGATAAATACCATCACAATTAAATTATAATCATCCAGAAATATCTTTGAGTATTCATTAATGTAAAAGTTTATATTGAGTCAGTTACTGATACCATACTCGAGAAAAATCATTGTAAATTGATCTGACAATTTCAATTAATGTTTATAGTTGTTATAGCTAGTGTGGGTTGTAGTAGTACAAATATTTGTTATGACTGCGTTTAGCGTTTACGTCGTGTGTATGTACTGAAAATGTAGCTGCGTCTCTAGTTGATTGTTTTGAAAATTCAGATTACAAACTCATCGACTTAATCATAACGTAAATTCATTGTACAGTTCAGACTAGCCACTCTGTCCGACTACTTCAACAAACTGCATGAGTCAGTCTTTTTGGTGCCCTTATACAGACGTATATAACTGACCTAATGTAAATTTACTTTTGATTTGAATACTCAAAGTATTCAGTGTAAGAGCTGCAGTTTCTCACTCTATATTAGCCATGTACTATTAATAATAATTGTAGTTTTCTATGTTTGTAAGTACAAGATGTAGTATGTATTGCAGTTCAAACTAGTTTTTAGGTTTTAGCCTGAAGATGAATGCATGTAATTTTTACTTTTCACTAAAAATGAAAAACCATATCACAAAGAGTATGGACTGGTGTTTCGTGTGTCAACCACGAATTTTTATTCTTAATTTGGCATTCCATTTAATACAAAATTAATTTATATTTAATAAATCTTCATAGCTATTTTTTATGTTAATAACTGAAGTGACGATGACTATGATGAATTATTTACAGACAACGAACTTATACCTATTTATTGTTCAATTATTTTTGTTTATTCCCAAAGGAGCTATTTTATATAATGAAAATCGACTATATTATTTATAATGATAATTAACTAAATTGTATAAAGAAGACAATTTTGCTTTATAAAAGCATTTTTAAGTGTTTCTTGAACAACCAATAAATGTAATTTTATTTAGACAGAAACTTGTATGTTTTAATGTAATAATAAATTGTTTAAAACTTTAATATATGATCTGTTAACAGACATTAATTATGTCAATAAAATTTGATAATTTTTTTTTGTTTTAGTTTATGGTATAAACATTATCTGACATCTCCTTATAATGTACTAAAATAGTATATCTACAATCAAGGATAAACAGTTAAATATTTAGGAAGACATTTTAATCAAAAGACTATATACATACACACAAATCTGTCACACCTGTCTCCCAAAATATTTACATATATAAATATGTTTAAAAAGACTTTTTCTTATATGACCAGTTAGTTAATTAAAAAAAAAGTATTTTTGTTTGTTTCCTATTTGTTGTTGCCATTACGATTAACAGCAATTAAAAATTAAAACATAATTTTATTATAATACCTTATGAGAAACACATCATACATTTTAAATTGTGATTTTTAAAATAATACGTTATTCATTATATGAGAAAACATATGAAAAAATTTAGTACTTTCTACAGAAAGTAATAATTTTTGTTGTTTGTAAATCCTGAATTTGATTGTAATTATCTTTCTTTCAGTCGTCGCTCCCTGATTTTTATAGTTTTTAATACCCTCATAATTCTTATAAAACACACTTATTTTGGGAGCTACATTATGGCTTAGTATTCCGAAATTCAACATAATTTAAAAAAATATTAAAATATCTTATTATTTTCGAGACTAATAAGATTAAATTTTATAATACTGAGGGCAAATGAGCATGCGGCTCACCTGATGGTAAGTGACTACCTCTGCCCATGATCACTCACAACACCAAAGACATTGCAGGTGTGCTGCCAGCTTTTTAAAAAGGAATATGCTTTTTTCTTGTGATGGTGTGGGATGTTGTTACAAATGAAACGAAGAATAAATGGATAAATTAATGTAATAAATATAATACAAAGTAACATGACAAAATATAAAACTAGAGAAAAGAAAATGTAGGAAAAGTAAAAAAGGCAACGAGTTTGTCACAACAACAAAATATTTAATAAATTGGTAAAACATCGACTGCTACATGGGAAATAAATACACCTTGAGCTGTCTTCGAAGGCACTTGGACTTGGATGAGTTTCCCACATTAAGTGTTATAGTATTCAATACTAAAAATAATGTTAGCAGTGTAATACTTGTTCAGCTGTTTTACTATGTTGGGATTTTTTTTACATTATTTAAACATTAAAGAAGTTTATTGAGTTTCTGGACTCAGAACCTTAATTGCAGTTTGAAAGTAGGCTATTTTTCAACATTTGGTGATGATAGGAACAAACTAAAAAGTGTTTAGTTTTTGGCAATCCAATATCTTATTATGGATTAGATATTTACTGCCGATTAGGGAAATATAGGTAAGTATTTATACCAAAATAATACCTAAGCTGGTAATTATAAATAATACATAACCTGATTATTCTACCTAAAGTGCAACCCATTCTTTTTTTAAGTTTGATAAAAATGGCATATATTTAGGCACCAATCTAGTTATTTAATTTTGAAATTGTCTTCTAAATATGGATAAGATCCAATTTATCACAACTAAGTAGTAATAATTAGGAGAACCATTTGTAAAAGTGAGTTCTTTTGAAGCAAGTAGGTATGAAAAGTTATTTTATTCTATATAAGTATTTACAGATACTATTACTTTAATTCATTCAACTACGCAGGTACTTAAATTCTATATTTAGTTATTTACATATTACTGTTTGTATATGTAGATATTAAGGAATATTATCTAGGACCTTATTTGAAACTACTAAAAACAAACGATACAAAATTAAATGAAATATTAACCAAAAATAAAATGTTAACTAGATAATAGTAATTATTATTTGTAATGTTCGAAAAATTATAGACAAGCAAGATAAAGTACCTACTTTCTTTTTAATTCCACTGTAGGTAATGTGTAGTCACAAACAAGTGAAAGGCATGCATCATAGCAGGTAGGTTGTGTGCGTTTTTCGACCTACATTTAGATGGTATGCATGGTATAAGAAGTATATTTGCTAAAAGTACGACATTTCTTTATTAATTCTATATTAACATACTATTATTCATAATTTTATTATATTAAACAACAATTTTATTTTCGGCAATAGTTAAAAGAATAAAAATAAAAAATAATTTCATGTAACTGGCAACATACATGAAAAATTTGTGTAGCGGAAGACATTAAAATTAATAATATAGTTCATATTGACCATACTTTTCAAATATATTTTTTATTCTACATTATCGTAGTTGTAATTTTTTATAGGATTAAAATAAAATATCAAAAATAACTTAAATTATTTTTAATATAAAGGTAACATTGAATTTTTTTATAAAGCGACAACTAGCGGTTAGTTTCTGTAACTTCTTATTGATATCTCTTGCTCTATGTTCATGTTGTAATTTATTCTCCAAAAATTGTGATACTTGCTAACAAACCTGACGTTTATTTAATATGTGTTCGTGTTTGGTTTGTTCTCGAGTTTAATGAGTAAATTATCTTATCTCAATGTATATGTTATCCGGCAAGTTCCTTTCAAGACCAATGACATTATATGATCTCGATGTGCGTTTTGGCCATTTTACTTGGCTTGCGTTGGTGATTCGTACATAAGTCACGTGACCTAAGTGGATTTTGGATCAATGGCGCCAAATGTCTATAACAGAAAATGTATGTAAAATAAAAGATATTTCAAAATAATGCATGACTCTAAAAGGTATATGATTCTCCGAACAACTTAACGTATACATTCATAGCGAAAAGAGGATGAAAAGATGCGTAGGACTCACGTCAATCTGGCAACAAAACAGTGCTGCTATCTATGTTGTCAATTTTGTTATGTAGTTTATAATGGAGACTACCCGTGAGATAAATATTTACTGTTAAATATTATAAAATGGAGTCTTTAGGATCTTTAATAGTGTTAAGTGAATGTATTTTACATTATAATAACGAGTGCAGAAGTAAATTAGGCGGCTAATAAAAGCGTGGACGAGCGGCTATTTACTTGCACCGCAGAGCTGTCTTCGAACCCGCCATACATTTTACTCGTGCAATAAAGTGAAACGTCAAATGGGATTTCTGTTCGTTATCGCTACAAAATGTGAAAAATGCTAGTTACGCACGTAATTTCTTGTAATATTCGTTACCGACAGATAAAAGGTTGGATTTCCTGTAATTCTCTCACCTGTCTAATTATCATGGTTGAATTCCAAATTGTCATTTTTCTTTCTTACGTCAAACAATCTTTATAGTCGTTTTTATTATTAGTTTACCGCGTTTTAGACACTGTTTTCTATGACAAAGTGAAAATTCAGTTATATTTTAGTTATTTCAAAATACTATACATCATGAGAGTTGTTTTGGATCTGTCAAAACTAACAATAATATTGAATCATTTGTTTGTAATGTATCAAGCATAGGATTGTGTGCAATGTTGACTTATACATATGTTTTTTACCTGTCACATGTGTATAGCAGTAATTTTTTATAACTTTCAGGTTGTACCACTTGCTTTCGGTCAAGCTAAAGTGCCATCATGTAGTGGATGCTGTGACATTTTACACAATGTTGCTACCACGATCCAAGTGTAAAGCTGTAGTGGGATCGTGAACATGTAGGTTGTGAATAAACTGAGAGAGATGTCGTTGAGAGGCACCAAGCGGGCGACCGGTGTGCGTGGGGAGGAGGCGGGCACATCGAAACGCCGCAGGACGGAGCCTGAGGATGCCCTCTGGCAACTCCGTCCTGATGTCAAAATGTCATCCATATACAACAGGAGTGCCTCAGAGGCACCAGCAGAACTATTCAGGTTTGTGTGCAATTTGGTACAACAAAGCATTGTTTTTAATGCATTTAAAATTAGAATAAGCCTTATTTTAAGCGGATGTGTATCTGAACATTAACTAAATTGTGTGCTGTAAATGCAAAAGCTAAGCGAAATTTGTTCATAAATGTGATTCAATTTATTTTTTAAAAATCTTAATTTTTGTTGTTGTCATAGAATATAATATACTTGATATAATAAATATCTAATGGAAATGGTTAATGTTACCTATTAGTATCTATATTGTAGTGCCACAATTTAGATACTAAGTTAGCTGAATTTTCTACATTAAATTAATTTGTTTTTATATGTTTAATTTTTATATCTATAATAAATTAAAGATCATATATATTTATATATATAGTAATTATTGATACATTATGTGTACTATTAATGAAATGAATTTTTAGTAAGCGAACTTGTAATGCACCTGCGAAATTTCATAATGATATTAATACTATTAAATAATATACATCAGCTTTGCTTCAGCTTTTCAAATTTTTAGTGATGATAATATAGCCTAATAATAAGTTTTTTGAAATCAAGCAAATTTATACTGATTCTGTTAATTATTAGTATGATATAAAATGTTAGACTGAATATACTACATGATTGTAGAATAGTAGTAATAATGATGTCTAAAATTGTTATTTTCAAAATATACTTAAATTATATTATCTAACATCTTACTGTTAAAAACTAAAAAAATAACCAGATAATATTAGTACAATTGTAATATAAAATTTAAAATATAGCATTCATAATATTAATAGTATAAGTATATTTTTATGCAAGCACTACAAAAAAATGTATAATTCAACAAAGTTCACAAATATTAGTTTTACTATAGTGATATATTTAGAAATGTATTTGTGATAAATATTGGAATTTTTTATTGAAAACTTGTTAAGATGTTAAGTATACATTCATTACTAAAATATATGAATTATTTATACAAATAAAATAACATGCGAATGTGTCCACTTAATTTTAAATGTAGCAGCTATTGCGATTGTGTACACTTAATGAGTTATTATCATCAATCATTCAAAATTCTGTAGATATTCATAGATTTTGTCACATTGTTAGTAGACTTTTTTTTATTAATGTGTTCATTTTAATATTACAATTATTAATCAATACTCTTAGTAATAAATGCAATAAGGGCTAATTATATGTCCTATCCATAGGCTATTGCAAATTTATACTTGCTAGCTAAATAATGTGTGTAAGTTTTATATTATGTGTAAAAACTGCTTGAGCTTGCGGCTTTTGTATTTAAATTTACCTCAACAATAATTAGGATTTTACTACACATTGTAGAGTTTTCAAATTGTATTATTTAGGTATTATGTGAAATAGCAGACTGTGTTTATAATTTTATTTTGTTTTAAAGAAATATGTTTGTTTGTTTTTGTTAACAATTTCAAATTGACATTAAATCTCAGTATAAATCCTCTTGCCAACCAACAATTGAGTCTGCTGTTATGTAAATTATAAAATTCGCTGTATATATTTATGGCTATAAATGTTTGTTTACAATTGTTTGGTGGCATGTTTGTGAACAAAATTTAGTTGTTAAAGTTCAATCAAAGATAAAAAAAAATAAACTCTATAAGGTAAGGTTAGAATTGTTTTTTTATTAATTGATAATTAATGATTAATAAAATAATTAATAATTTAATTAATAAATTAATTATTGTTTAATTAATTTATGAATTAATTCATATCATAGTAAAAGATTTTAGTAATTCCCATAAGATATTAGAGTACTATTCATATTTATTTATTTTCAAATTGTAAATTAAAATATTGACAAATTATTTTAAGCTATAAACAATTGGTGATCTAAGATAAGTCTTTGCAAGACAAAAATTTGTGTAAATGTTGTTATATCACAATGATTTGTATGAAATATTTACAACATAAAAGAAATTCAAAGAGTTAAGAGGCAACTAACATTATATTAATGGTAGGCTTTAAATTTGTCCATATATATCTTCCAGGAAAGATCTCATCAGCGCGATGAAGCTCCCAGACTCGGAGCCCCTCACGCCAAATAACTATTGGGTCATCACAGACACATGGAAGCAGGACTGGGAGCGAGGTGTGCAGGTTCCTGTCAACCCTGACTCATTACCCGCGCCAAAAGTCAAGATAATTGACAACCCACTGCCGCCAGACTTTCAAGAATTCAAATTGTATGTATTATTTAATTTTCAATTCAATTTAACATTCTACTGCACCTACTGCACATATCCACATCAAAAGTGTCTAGGGATCAAGTATGTATTAGAGTATCGCTGATTATTTAAAGATTATTATTTTAACTTTTTTGGACTTTTTATTGTTACCGATTCTTTTTAGTGAGTTTCACTATTTCAATGAAGGATTTCCTTTAAATTTTGATTAAATATAGAAAATCTACTGTTAATAAGGATTCCTATAAAAGTGTCTAGTGTTTTTACAAAACCATTATAAATTGTGCATTGGAACTGAAAAAAATTTTACCTATATGGATCAACATCATCATTTGACATGAGAAGAGATGATGAGAGCCGTTAGGATGTTGCTAGCTGATTCCAAACAATGTACTGAGGTTATCATTATGACACCACACAGAGCGTCATAAGGCGCCTCTAGACAGGCTATCGTATCAGAAGTAGCGTGGCCGAGCGGCATGGAGGATGATCTTGCATCACCACTCGCAGATAGGACCAGTAAAATATTGCTCGACTGAATTATACCATGACCACTATGATGCTGGATTCAACTCTTCAGGCTTGCTGATAAGTGAACAAACCATCCGAAATCGGTTATGTAAAGTGGGTCTGTGTTCCCGAAGGTCACTGCGAGTTTCACCTTTAGCACCCTGCAATTGAAGGTCCTGTTTAAAATGGGCTTGCAGAGACAAATTTGGAGGAAGAAAATGGAATTGCGTTTCCTTTTCTGGTGCATTTTATTTTAGTGTGAAACGAAATACAAGGCACTCGAATTGGTAGGACCTCTGGACATCAAAAACATTTGAAGTTTTGTCAGGAAGTTCATTCATATGGAGGAGGAATAATAGTGATTTGGGCCGGTATTTGGATACTAGATGGAAGAACCAATCTCATTCGGATCAGGCGCAACCTCAAAGCTCAGATTATGTAGAGATGATTGTTTCAGACGTGATCATATCTTTGTGAAACCAGTTGGGCGATTTGTTTCGATTAATGCACGACAATGCACGTCCACACACGAGTAGAGTTGTAACACTCACTCTTGCTAATGCTCGCATTAATATTTTGCTGTAGTCTACTAAATTGCCAGATCTCAATTCAATTGAGCTCGCGTGGGATATGCTCAAAAAATAAACTTTTGCTGAGTATAGATGCTATGCTACCCCACAACTACTTTTTGACTTGTTAGAAAGAACATTTTAAGCACGCCAAATCGCTGTGATTGTGTTATTAGTATCAATGGTGGAAACATAGATTATTAATCTTTTTTATCTTTAAAATAAAAATGTGCTATTTTTTGTCATTTCTTTTACGACATTAAGTCATTAACTTAAACATAAGAATTAAAGTAAGAAGCCAGTCTGATAGACTATATTTGGTAATATTAATTGGATTTATGGTTAAATTTGTACTTTATCCCTAGGCACTTTTGTACTTACTAGTATTTCAGTTTACTCATTAGTTGTGTAGTATCTAAAGTACCGGTTATACTAGATGGTGCTGGTATTTATTTATTCAGTTCGATCACTTAGTCTGGAAAATATGGCTAATACAATAACTCGAGTCTCGCAACAAATTGGCTATTAGTTAGTAAAACATACTATCTAGAAATAGTATGTTTTACTAATAATTCTTAAAGTATACATATTTTATAATGCATCTGCTACGTGGAATATTTTTGTTGTTGTTAAGTATATATGGCATTCTAAGTTCAAATATATAATTGCATTAAAATTAGAAATAACAGCATATAAATAAAAAAAAAAAACATATGTTATTATTAAGGAAAACAAATACTAAAAAATTAAACATTTAGTACTAAGAACCTTCATTCCTTTTTTTGAGCCTTAAGCTCTCCTTTTATACGTAGACTTTGGGAAATGGCATAGCAGGGACCATCGATTTATGGCGAACTTCCATAACGCGTTAATATTGATGCATACGCTCACGAAACTTGAGTTTTATGCTCATATTGCATTCTAAATCTTTTAATAAAAAGATTTTAAATGTTATTTTATAATTAATATGATTGTAATAATTAATATACCAGTTTTATGCTTTTTCACAGTGAGCTGAGGAAATATTTGATAAATATAGGAAAATGGTACTTTAATGGTACTTGATTAGTGATTTAATGGCAGCAGGATATTTTTTTCACGAGCTATAAGCGACTCTTTGACAATATGTTCCTTCCCAAGTGTTAAATTTTATTTCAAAACCTAGTGTTTTCTTACCCAATGTTCATTTTTTGCGCTACTGTCCCAAAAACATAAAACAGGGAAATTTTGTGTAACCACTTTTTGAACCAAAAAAAAAAATGTTTTCCATTTTTAAATTCATACAAATTTGTCACTTATTTTATTATATTGTCTATTTGGGATTTCATAATGTTCATATTCATTTCCGTTATGTAAAAGAATCCATTTTAGGCTACATTTTAAATTGCAAATAAAGTAATTTGATTCATATTGTTTCAATTTCACTCATCACTCACATTATGAATACTTCAATGATGAAAATAAAACATAAAATTATATGAGCTGCACAAAAATTTCTAAGAGTAGATTTGAAAATAATATGTCATAAATGAATAATATCAATCATAAAGCTTAACAACAAGAAAAATAATGTACTTTCATCTATTTAGAGCATCTTTGGATAATGAAGATGATGATGGAGTGGGTAGATATCTATAAAGGGAACAGTTATGATTTATTAATCAGTTATAGTTATCTAAGTGGTATTATCAATATGATCAGTCAGGGCTTTCTTATTTATAGATAATATTGATGAAAATAATTTAGGTATAAAAAATATATAGATATCTATTGATTCTTTATTTTACATGTTACATATTTAAATTATGAAAACATACTAATTATGTTTCCTTTTGTACAAGTAAATACTATTTATATTTTTAAAGAGTAGTAGCATTTTCGGTGCATTTATGTCCTCTTGAAACACTTATTTTCTTTCACAAATTTTGATAAAATACTTTTGCAATTATCTAACGTAGATTTATTGAAGATAAAAGAATGCTTTAATAAATTAAAAAAGGAAATACATATAGTATTTTCTTTTTTAATTTATTGCTTTACTGAAGTACAATCTTTATGTAGATTAACATCAAAATAGTTATAAGCTACATTCTTATAATTCCCACTTCATAGAGTTTGTAGAATAATACAATGTACAAGATGAGTCTAAATTTTGATCATTGCATCTATAAAATAGATAATAATGTTTATTATTGATAAACATTATTATCTTATATTAAAATGTATGCAAGGATTGATACTTGACAGTCAATTATCTTGGCTTTTATCACAGGACGAACAGTTCTATGTAAGCAATCAATAGTATACTAGGTAATAATATTATACTAGAGTTTAGCCAAAATATTAACATCTGCTGAATGCACTGACTTCGCTTACAGAATGAATTCGTATTTTTAATTAGTTCACTTTATTTTGACATAAAACTAAATTTTATTATTTGTGATAAATGTTATAGTTTTATATTATTTTTGTTTTTAATAGTATAGATAGCCTACCTATCAAATAATGGCCATATTGAAGTTCTGTATCAGGTTCGAGATGTGATCTAATTTGAATTATTGATAAAAATATATAAGGTTCATATTTATTTATTTATATGTGATGTCTTATTATTGTCCCGGGCTACAGTGTATGTTAATTTCGCAGGCCCAAGGACAAGTACATACATTTAACGCGCGATAGTCATTACCAGCCTGACAAACACCAGTTAAGCACCACGCCAGCTCGTGCCGAAGCCGCTTGCAGTTACGACCTTGATGCTTTGGATACGGCTTGGTTGAAGCTGCTTAATGCGGAGCGGGCTAGGGCTGGTGCTATGCCAATCTCAGAAGATCAACTTGAAAAAGTTATAGAGGAGTTGGAGGTGAGTTTTTCAATGCGATTCAGTATAGAAACGAGGTATTGGCGTGCCTGATAGAAAGTAGCAGTAGACATCAACTATACCGTGGACATTACATAATACTCTGTGATATCCAGGGTATCTCTCATGTATTGTTATTCTTGAAGGCTATGGTATTATGCCTCCTTGCCTTGTAATATTATTGCAATTTTATTGCCATTATTTACTCTTCAGATTGACACATAACCATGCAGGCATAGCTGCTTCACGGTAAAAATATATTATAATTATTAATTATTAAATTTCTATATTAATAAAATTAATATAGAAATTGAGATTATTTGGTCATAGGATAACCAATAAATATCTTAGATATATTATATTAGATAATAATATTGTATTGACAAAAACATCTTTAAAATGTTTGTTAGAGTACCATCGCAATTTTATATCTGCCCAGAAATAAATTATTATTTATTTGCATATGAAAAAAATTTAATTGAAGTCAATAGCTAGCTACTTTTGATTACATACTTCATCAGACGTTAAAAATTATGTTGTAGACATAGTAATTTCTTACAATGTGAATACATGTTTCTTGAGTATGTAAAACTAGTTTTTATTATTATTATTATGTATGTAAAATGTAATTAGATTAACTGGGCAAGTCTAATTTTTATTGATAGATCAGCCAAAAAATTGGTTTAGAAAGAGAAAGGTTTAGAAGGAAATGATTCTCTTACTGATTTATGTAGTCCAAACATAGTACTATGTTGTTAGTAGGAGTTGAATCAAAATTAAACCTTTATTCAAGTTTACTATATCATTTTAATATATAACAGCTTATATTTAATAAATAATCTTCGAATGTTTATATTTATTTTCACCAATTAGTCATAACACATAAAGACATAACAAAGTCTGATATTGTTTGTAAATTAATATATTAAGAACTAGTCTGGTGTAGTTTCTATTTCAATTTGTAGACGGCGTGGCTACATGAGGTTATTATTGATCTAACAGTACATTATACCGATGTCTGCCTACAATGCCCCATTATTCAAAACAAATAATTTTCGATATTGCTTGAAAATGATTTGTATTAAGTTGGAATAAGTCATCCGGCGTTGCTATCTCATTCTCTCTCACGGACTCGCTAGCGATGTCAATTCCATCGACGAATTCGCTTGTCACATGTCTAGAGGACCTGATTTTTTATTGTATTTTATACAAATCTTGTCCTGACAATTACAAACAACAAAAAAAAAAAAAGATTAGTCTAATAGATATAGCCCTTTTGAAGTCATAAAGTAGTTCAATAATAAAAAGAAAATTAAATTTAAGGACAGCTTGATGAGATAGGAATTAAGTCTGTATCTATCTGTAATGTTTCTAAACCAATTTCGCTATCATTTTAAGGCCGATTTGTTTGGTTCTTTAATATTTTTTCTTAATCGAAATAAGTTAATTTGTATAAAAGAATTATTAAATATATTTATAAACAAATTATTGCATAGTATATTAAAAAAAACCTGTTAATCAGTAGAAAATGAAGCTTAATTTCATGTTTCGTAGTGCTATTTAATTTATAGAAATAAAATGAAATAAATATGTTAACGAATCTTCTTATTACAATCTCTTATAATAAGAAATCAAAGGCGTTTGTGGTGAACATAACACTTGACATCACGCTGCTTTGTAGTTATTACATAACCTATTAAGAAGCAAGCATCCTCCGTTATTTATATCGCCGTTCGTTCAAAATTAGTCGAAAATTTAAATTAACGCACATAGTTTTCGACGATGACCACTAAGCTCTTAATTTTATAAAACTTTTTCTTCATTCTTATAATAGTATAAATATCTGCTTTAAATATTTTAATCATTTATTAAAGTATTGAAGTACTTATACCTACGACTTTATCAGCGTGACGGGAATATGTTCATTGATTGAAGGTAGCTTATATCCTTCTTCAATCCATTTAATACGTGTACACCAATTACATAGTGTTTGGTTGAGCCTTTAAGCCATTATAAAGTAAAATATAAATGTAAATATATATTTATTTCTCTCACATAATAACAAAGTAATAAAACTTGCTACATAGTAAAGCAACAAACAAATAAACAAACTCACTTTCACATTTATAATATTAGTAATATTCTTACTAATATATGAAATATAATTCTCAGGCTGTAGCCAAGTTGCTTAATTGATTAGCTAACATTTTGTAATTTTTGAGTTAATAAAATATAAATTTAGTACAATTTCATCACGCTCGTAAGTTAGTGGCAATAACAAGAAAATAATAAGTGCATGAAAAGATATTTACAAAAACGAGCTGAATGTAAACTAAGTATAAAATATAATTATGGACTTTAATTAAACAATGTTTGTTATAGGTTCGGACATGGGACAAAATTCAAGCTATTATGAAGTCTGAAGAAGGTTTAGGTATCGAGTATGACGAGAATGTAATTTGCGATGTGTGTCGATCTCCAGACTCTGAAGATGGTAACGAAATGGTGTTTTGCGATTCATGCAACATATGTGTGCACCAAGCTTGCTATGGCATTACTGTTATTCCAGAAGGTACGTATGGTATTGGTGAAACGGAGACTAGTTATCACTCACTTTACGTAACGAGGATATTCTTATATAAATGAACCATATATATTTGTCATTACAGGACAGTGGCTGTGCAGACCCTGTGGTGACGGCGTGCGGCCTACCTGTGTTCTGTGTCCTAATCTTGGTGGTGCAATGAAATGTACACCATCTGGCCATAAGTGGGCTCATGTTAGTTGTGTGCTTTGGATACCCGAGGTATCAATTGGTTGTGCCGAACAAATGGAACCTATAACTAAAATATCCTCGATACCACCGTCGCGCTGGTCGTTAGTGTGTGTATTGTGTCGCGAACGTAAAGGAGCATGCATACAGTGCTCAGTAAAAACTTGTAAAACTGCTTACCACGTAACATGTGCATTTAAACATGGACTAGAAATGCGTGCAATAATAGAAGATGAAAATGCAGACGATGGAGTAAAGCTGCGATCATATTGTCAAAAACATAGTGTTAATTCTAAAAAAGAAAAGTGTCCAGGTTCAGGCTCGGAGGAGGAGGAGGTAAAACGTAAGCGTCGAAAAGACATGACGTCAGAAGAGAAAACACAAGCTCGGGCTGCTCGGTTACAAGAAATTGAAGCGGAGTTTGACAACCATGTTAGCATGAAAGATATTAGTACACATCTCCTTGATGTTGACCAAGATGCAATCAATTATATTTACAATTACTGGAAATTGAAGAGAAGAGCAGGGCATAATCGTCCTTTATTACTACCAAAATCAGATGATAGTGAACTTCTCACACATAGACAAGAACAAGCAGATCTTGATAAAATGAAGATGTTTGTGCAGCTAAGGCAAGACCTGGAAAGAGTGCGGAATTTGTGCTATATGGTGAGTAGAAGAGAAAAGCTGTCTCGCTCTTTCTTTCGATTACGAGAACAAACATTTCACAAGCAAGTGGCGGTTTTAACAGCAGATTCTACAATAGCGGGGCCAGATTTGGCTGCCATTATTGAAGCTAATCATGGACCATCAATATATGACAGATTATATTCGCATGATAATGCACCAGATCATCAGAATGACTTTGATGCCTTACTGGCACGAATTGCGCCTCCAGATTCAGGCGACGAAAAGAAGAAAGATCGTAACGGCCTAGTAAGAGGATCTAGGTCATCAAATCCCTATAAGAAACATTACGTTAATGGCTCACGTCGAAGTGGTAGCATGTACAGTGGTCTTTCTAGTGAAGAAAGTGCTGTGGAAATCAGTCGATCAAATAAATATCGTGGTAGAGCTATTGGGTCTAGTACAGATGAAGATGAGAAAAAGCCTAATTCACCAAAGAAAAAGGTATGTCCAAAAACAAAAGGCAAGAAATTACCTAAGAAGTCTGACAGAAAAAAGAAGAAAGTACCACAGTCTAAGGCATTGGTTGAAAGTAGTAGTGAGGATGAGGCATTAAAAGCCAAAATGAAGAAAGATAGATCTCGTAGTAAAACATTAACACAGATGGAGAAAGAAATGACAGCTGGAAAGTTAGGCTTGTCTGGTTCTGATAGTGATGAATTAATGCCAATAAAATCAACAAGAAATAATAAATTCCCCATGAACATTTATTCAGACAGTAGTGAAGATCTTCCTTCAAAAACAGATATAAAAGCAGAAAAAATTAAAAATATAGATAAACTTAAATCCGAAAAAGTAAAACCTGATAAATCTCCAAGTGGAAATGATTCACAACAACCATTACCACGTACTAAAGCTGCCATGAAAGAATTTATACCAACTCAACCTGAAAAGAAAGTAACTATTAAGGAAGAACCGAAGCCTGCCCCCAAGAAAAGAGGTAGGAAACCATCCAATAAAGATAAAAAGCTTCCAGAGAAAACTGAATCAGATGATGAAGCGAAGAATAAAGAAAATATTAAGTTCTTAAAACAGAAAGACAACCCCACAGATTTAATAGTACCACAACGACAAGCTGCTAAGAAGGCTTCTGAAAATATGCGATCTACAACAGTGGTTAAGAAAGAGGAATCAAGTACTGAAAAACAAGTGAGTGGTGATGACGCTAAGTCTAAGCCAAAAGTGAAATCTAAAGGAAAAGAAGTTAAGGAAGTTATTATTCCTACCACTTCACCATCTAAAATAGGAAAGAAAAAATCTACTAAAGAGCTTAAAAAGGAGCCCATTTCCTATGTACCACAAAGACAAGCAGCTAAAAAAGCGGCGGCACATATTAAGAGTGGCCTTGGAAGTAAACCACCAGTTGTTGAAACAACAGATTCTGATAAAAAGAAAGATGAAAGACCAGATTTATCTAAAATGTCACCTAAGAAAGATGATATTAAAAATACTAAGACTACAATAAAAGAAAGTTCAAGTTCTTCTTCATCAACTAGTAGTAGTTGCTCATCATCTTCTTGCTCTGAAGAAGAACAAGAAAAACCTGGTATTAAACCAACTGCTAAAGCGCGAGAAATCAAACCGGCAATTAGGCAACCCTCTATGTTTTCACCACCCGGCTCTAGGCCTACAGTGGACTTGCCCTTTCTCGACAAGGTGTCAAGACCATTGTCTTCAACTAGTGCCTCGAGTGATTGTGACAGCTTTAAAGAATGTAGATCTGGTTCAGGGAGCCCCTGCCCTAAACGCCCGCGTAGGCGACGGAAAGGGAAGAGCCTCTCCACTGATACGTCCCAACGCAAGACCCCGGACAAGAAGCTTAAAACTTCCGAACGGGGGTCCGAGCGTAGGGTATCACCGACTATTAAGGGAGAGGAATCGAGCAGACCCAGCGATGCGCGTGCTGCCACGCGTGCTCGGACCAGAAGCACTACTACAAGCGGAAATATGTCTAATAAGTCTGATGCCCGACAACGAAAACCATCTAAAGACAACTCCAGTTCTGCCACTGACTCAAATAAAACTTCCAAAGAGAGCGGCCAGCCCTCTGAATTTTCATCTCCGAAGCGGCAAACGGACGAGGAGATGAAGAGAGATCTAAAGAAATCTCCATCTTTTACTGAAATGCAGATTAATGATGTAAAAGCAAAGGTAACTAAACCTAAAAATCGCAGTATATCTGTAGAAGAAAAAGATAAAATAAAATCCGAAAGTGAACCCATTACTTCAATCAAAACTAGTCCAAGGAAAAGCCTAGATATAAAACATAAAAACAGAAGATTGAGTGTCAAAGAACCTGGATTAAAGGAGTTAGGATCATTGTCAAATGAAGTAACTAATACTATTCCTAAACAGAGAAGACTGAGTAGACTTGAGGCTCTTAACACTTCTGATTTTGATCATAGTAATCTTTCGCCTGTTAAAAAATCGATTTCAGTTGAAAAACCTCCAGAAATTGTGGATGACAGAAAGAGTCCTATACCAATGAATGATGACTTTAATGATAATGACAAACATTGGTTGGCAGCTCCTAGTCCTTGTGTTCATCTTCCGCCTATAGAAAAGCCAGGTGGGCATGAAAAATATATGACTGAAGATAAATCAATGGATTCTGATTCTGCTGATAAAAACAGCGTTAAAATGATCGCTAAAATTCAAGCAAATCTAAATGAAAACACAATGATTAAATCACCAAAGACACCAATGGATGCTAGAACAATATCCATGGAATCTATGGATGTGGATACACCAATGGCTAGAAACATACGAAAACGATCAACACTCGAATCCGATAAAAAGTTTATTACTCAAGATACCAGTCACGTGCAGGGTGTTGAGATCTCAAAGAGTGCTAAAATACCTTCAACAGTAAATCCATATCCTAATCGCTCCATGTTTTCACCTCAACCTAAAGACCATGAACTCTTCGATTATGAAATGTTGGCTGTCGATGATGGTTTTAACCATGATGACATGATGAAACCGTTTACATCATATCCAGAATTTTTCTTCAAGGAAGACTCAAAAGAACAGGGTGTGCAAGAGACCTTGAACTTAGTTGATAGGCTTAGAATGCAGTTGAGCTCTAAAAAAGTGTCAGCAGAAAATTCAACTCATGATGAATCATTAACTGAAGATAAATATAACAGAGATGAAAATAATAGCATTAATCCGATTTCTACAAAAGTAGAAGACGATCATGAAAGTATACCAGCAAATAAACATGAAAACGATTTGCATGATAATGACACAGCACTAAAAGAAGAACAAACTACAGAAAACCATATTCCACAGCCTTATGCATCTGATATGGTATCTAGAGAATCTATAAAAGATAATAAAGACTACCACCAACCAATACCAATGACAAGTAATGAAAAATGGTCTGATTTGCCTGTATCTCAAAGCAATAATCATATCGATCAATCTAATGATCGAAAGTATGACCACGTAAATGTTTATCATGAAGAAGTTAAAGAGCGAAATATAACTCAGTCAGATGTACAGTCTATTTCTGAAGTTGGAGATACAATATCGCTATCGAAACAAAGTGATGATTCACAGTCATTATCTGTTGTTGACCATTCCATACACAGCAATGATCATGACCTCACACAAGACAACCAAAATTATGAAAATAATAATTCATTAGTGCACTCGGATTGTGCTACTGTTTCTTCTCCTTATATTAGCCAAGAAACTAAATGGAGAGAAAGTAAGATAGCAACACGTAGATCATCTGCATCAAGTACAAGTTCTGAAGGGTCTGTTTGTTCTCAAAAGACAGATATAAAATCTCATATGAACAATTGTGATTCACATCAAGGTAATGTCATGCCTATTGACTCGTATCCACCAATACCCACGTATTCTTGTCCAGTGGAGCCATCGATGCCATTAAATCAATACAGTGCTTATGCTCCTGATGCTTCACCGTTCTTGAGTTCACTGCCACTTTTTGCAACGGGTGCATGCGCATCATCTCAGCTACCATTGCCGTCGCCAGGCCCAGGACTTTATGCTTCGTCTGTCGGTCTGCCGTTCTCAACGACTTCATTGTCGACGTTGATGCAACCGAAACCAGCTTTTCCACAATTATGCGCTGCTTTTACATCTTCGTCACAAAATATTGCACTTACGACAGCAATGATAGCACCGCCAACACCTAAACCAATCGATTCGCCTCGGGATGATATTGACGTAACGGGAAGTGATAAATTCTCAATACATGTTGCATCAAGTCCAAGCATTAGTGTCGATTCATATGAAGCAACTAACAATAGAACTTCCACCAAAATGTCTAATGATAGCAGTGAAACTATTGCCAGTATACATCCTCAAGAATCGAAATCACCGCCAAAATTGATTAAGAATGCATCTAAATTCCCAGTAAAGTCACCTGGTAAAAGTCCAGGTATATCGCCTAAACAAAGTGAAATTACTAAAGGCACGAAGCGCTCTAGCAATAGAAGTAATAGAAGCCAAAGAGGGCGAGGTCGATCCAAGAGCCGTGGACAAGGTGTCCACGGTTTCCCTCATGTTGAATATATGGGTAACTCCATTCAAAACAAACTAGTCGGAACAGTTTATGATTTTGATGAAGAAATTGCTAATGATGGCGTTGATCTCAAAGCTCTTCGAGAAAGACGTAAGTCTATAGATATTAGAGACGATAGAAAATCCGAGCATTCATTTAAAGACGCATCACAGTCACCTCCCGTAGTTAGTCCTCAGCAAATAAATAAAAGACCGCCTCAAATTGAAGCCAAAGACGTTAAACCTCCTACTCCTGAGCCTCCAGGTCGAATTACTTCACCAGCTATTAGTAAAACATCTTCAGAACGCGGGCCAGGATTTTCACAAGTCCAGCCCGTATTACCAGGACCCGTGGACATGCGTACCTATCAACCATTCGATAATCCAGCGCCTGCTACTGGCGATGCTTATCATAACCATTTACTAGAATTTGCCAGTGGCACTGCTGATCAACAATTAGCGGATATCGACGAAGAAGTTGAAAAACAACTCCATAGTGCGTTAATGGCTAGTAAACCAAGATCTGGTTCTCCATCTGCCACTCCAGCCCCTGATTTAGTTGAGCCTCCTCCAAAAGAGACATTTACGCCACAGTTGCCGAAGGTTTCATTGTCTGATTCAAGAAATCAATTGAAAGTCAAAATAAAGGGTCCATTCTTAGACGCTAATTACTCGGCAAGTTCAGTTCAGCCTGTTGCACCTCAACCACCAGCGCCAGTACACGAATCTAATAGCAGTTTGAACGTCTCTAGTAGTGTGGCATCCAGTATGATGTCTGGCTCTACAAATTTAAGACGAATGCGCAAGAAAGAGCTACTTCGACAGTACTGGACGCAGGATATGAATATGGATGATCCTACTGCTGCTTCTATTATAAGAGCGACGCAACCACCGGCGGCACCACCTCCTTTGGCTCGAGCCGTCATTACAATTCCAAAAGCTGTAGCATCTATGACAAGTATACCGACCAGGGAAGATTATAAAATAAGCGACACGCCAGTGGAGAAAAAGAAACGTAAGACCACCAGTGGTTTGTCCCGCGAGTTAAGACATTTAGAAGTGAGCATGAATGATGCTGATCCATCAGATGATACCAAATTGTCAAGCTTCAGTACTGCCAATTCAAGCCAGTCATATAAGAGACGAGGTCGAGTCACTATAAAACCGAATACGGCGAGTGCTCCTGCACCAGTGGCTCCTAAATTGAAAATAAAATTGAGTTCTAATAGTGTGCAGCAAGTGAATGATGACACGTTAGGATTTCAGTTGCGACCGCCAAAGAAACGGCTGGTTAACTTACCAAAGACCAGTATGGAAGATGTTCGCCGGGAAAATATGAAATTCCGGCGGAAGATTATGGCAGATTTTGAGGAAAATGAAAAAACTGAAAAATATAAGCCTAGTAAGAGTGAAAAACGTAAGAAGAAGAAGGACAAAAAAACGGAAAAACTTGAAGTGATAAACCCGAGTACTAGTGAAGGTTTGAGAATAAAAATAAAGTTTAAAAAAGAGGAGGAGGCGGAGGAGAGTTCTGGAACGATGACTGTGGCGGCAGCGGCACCGGCAGTGTCGGGAATACCGCCAACGACCAGCACGTCGACAGCGGCAACGGCGGCAGCGACCGCGGCTGCTGTAGTGCCTGAACCTGTTGTGGACCCGTTCGAGTATGATCCGACCGCTCAGGATCCGCTCGCTATCGATCCACCCTCCTACTCCGAAACATCCGCGATGCGTAAAATTCGGACCGATAAAGTGACGCCAATACGTTTAAAATTAGCTCGTAGCTCGAAAGGTTCCGGTTACGTGATGAAAGAGGCCGGCGAGGAGGATACGTCCGCGGCGAAGGCTGCGGCAGCTTCCGAGGCGGCGCCACCGCCCGTCTCCTCGCCCTTGCCATTGACTGTGAACAAACACTGTGAAGTGAGATGATACAAGCCACGTATTAGCAGATAATCAATTAGATTATGATAGAACAAGCTTAAAATCTCGTGTATAGTTGGAGTTAATATAAATTAGATAGTGTTTGTATATTTTCAAAATAATATTATCTTCTTTGTAATGACGTAGTTAATCGTATTATTTATTTGTATAAATTGAAGCTCAAGAATTCGATTAACTTAAAGTTATGCTAAGGTAATATTAAATATGTTAGTTTTGTGCATTCAGTGATGCGCAAGTAAATTTGATTAATTCTAACATATATTTTTGTTAACGTTTATGTTTTACTTTTGCTTATGTCGAATCTCATTATTTTTTTGAAATATGTAAGCATTGAAAACATATATCTAAATATGATAATATTTTAGTGATAGTTCCAATATTACAACATACATCACATTTACTGAACGCACTTCTTGCAGTGTGGACAATCTGAGAGCTATTACTTTCATCTATTTCTCCCAATTGTATTTGACTGCTTGTGATTGATTATTCATATGGATAGGCGTCATGTTAATCGCGTATTAATATCAGACGTCATAGGTAAAGATATTATTTTAATATTATTAAAACATATATATCTATATATATCATAATGCCTTGTACATAGTGTATCTACATTTTTATATAATTAAAAATTTATGTATAAAATTGTCTATTTCTATATATTGTTACATCGGCAATGTAAATATTTATTATATTTGTCATTTGGGAGCATTATTATTTTTTCATTAAATTGAATAATGTGTATGTAAGTATGTGTATATATATTAACATTTTAATTTACATACGATCATTTAAGTACAATCATTAATAAGTGTATAAAAAAATGCCGTGACATATCCGTCTGCTCGGCCTAATCTTGCAAACTCGTTATCCTTAATTCTTATTATTAAAAGAGAATGTTTTCAGACTATACATAATCTTTTAATAAAACAATAAAAAATGACTGCATTAGTTGGAATAAAAATATGAAATTCGTATTTTAACCGCGGTAACACTGCCTGGAATTTTAAATTAAATATAAATGATAGAGCTCTTTGTAAACTATTACATATCCTTTTGATATTTTTATGTTTATATTTCGATACAATTTCAAAAATTGCTCTCATTCTCGAATGGGTTTTCTTTGTCTAGACGGGGTCACTGGTTATAAATATATTGAAATTTATTTATTTTATTTAGTATTTTGTATAGTTTATATTGAAAAGTATATATATATAAATTTTATTACGAGTTTACTAGCTAGCGAGAAGTGATTTTTATGACGTTTAACCAATTCCTGTGCCGACTATACGCATCTCATAATACATTATTCCTTGATCCATATATTAACCAAAGACTATGGAAATGATGAAATTACTTTTTTGAAAGGGCATTATTAATTTTGGCATTATGTATTAACGCTTACCCGTTTTTGGAACAATATTAGAAATAAAATTGTTATTTTGTCAAGTAAATTTTACATATTTATGGGAAATAATAGTATTTTATTATCACACGTCAGACATAGAAACGAGACTGTGAGTACTTAAGATTTACAACTAAAGTACAGATTGTTCGTTTCTCAATTTTTATATTCTTTACTCATTCATACCTATATATATGTACAGTACATAAAAAGCGAAACGACTGACTGATCAACCCATAGCTGATACTGCTGGCTCTAAAAAACAAAATTGTGCACAAAGTTTCTTTATATAATGTGAGCTACGCCTTATATTTTGAAATAAATGGGGATAAGAGATTCTTACACAGGTGCTTTGACATTTTTTATTTTGTATTAATACTTAATTTTAAAATATTGCACCTAAGTTTCCTTTTTTAATTTTGAATTGACAGAAATGTTTATATATATATCGTCATAGTCGTAGAATACTGACGGATCTGACGAATATTACATATATAGATCCGTCAGTATTCTACGACTGTGACGATATATTCTATATATATAATATTTCATATATTTATATGACTAAATAATAATAGAAAAAAAAGTTGTTCTCAGTTACGTCCTAAAATAAAACTATATGTATATATATATATATATATATATATATATATATATATATATATATATATGTATAATTGTATTGCGTCAGTTACTTTTTGTATATCCTGAATACCAGATATTGTTACCACAAAATAACACATCACATGGTTGTTGTTTCTATTTCAAATTAAATACAGCAATTATTGTAACCACTTGAAGTGAAATATACATGACTTTCATTTTCTCATCACCACTTGTCATCAGGTGATACAAGTGAATTGTGAGTCTCCAATAATAAAAAAGTAATTTGTTTTCGTTTTTAACACTTTGTGAATGCCATATTTATTATATATTGTACCTTTGTAGTCTCGAAATGATCTTCTGCAATTAAGACTCGTTTCGTATATGAATATGAATGTTGATAAATTATTATCAACATTCATATACGAATACCAGAAAAAAAATATCCTTCTATAAATATTACATATTATAACAATTAAAATGTGATTGCTAATATTCAGGATGTGCACAAACACTGATCATTGAAACACTATTTTACGAATTTTGTTTATTACTAGCGAACAAATCCACAATCACGTTCAAATATTACACGTTTTTAAATAAAATCAATTCAAGAACAGGTGGGAAAGAGAAGTTTCTTTTTATTTTTGACTTAATATATATGTGTATGTATGTTTCACGTGTTTTGTGCAATATTTGGCAATACTCAATGAATAGTCATCGTTTGACATTATGAGAGCGTATTAGATTTTAAGTACATATTCGTTAAGTTCTTTAAGCTATGTTTACCCCATATCACTTTATATAAACTCTTAAGTAATACACGCAATAATATAGTGTGTATATGTATTTATTATTATTATTATATCAGCCGTTTACTGTCCACTGCTGGACATAGGCCTTCCCTAAAACGAGAATTTTGCTAATAGTTGTCTTGCAACGCTTCGCAGGCGGAGTGGCAACCGCAGTTAGGGTTTACTGATGTTTTAAGAAGGACTCTATTGTCCATCCTTCGACCGTTAAGTTCCCTTAGTCGCTTTTTACGACAACGTCCAGACAGGTTCCGGACAGAAAGGGGTGGTTCATTCTATGCCGGGACCACACGGCTAATTTTCTATTATATTTGCATATTCTTCGATTTTACGACTGCACGATAAATTATGTAAAGAAATATATTTTATTCATTAAAGTTATATATTTTATTCATATCAATTTCAGTAGGCCAAATTCCTCTAAAAGATTTTTAAGCCCTATATAATATTAATATTAACAAATTTGTGACAAAAAAAAATTAATAAATGAAATTTTGTTTTATACCCAAAAATTATTTTAAACGGTAAAAATTTTTAAATGTAAAAATAATCATAAAACGGTTCCTACGTACTGACATAATATTTCTTGGGTCACAAATTTTTGTCCACTAAATGATAAATTCTAAATGAATTCGTGCGTCTAGTTGGATTAGCTTATAGATATTTTATACTTTTATATTTTTCTAATTATAGTTTTATTGAAAAAGTAAAAAAAAAATACCTTCAATATTAATGCATTTAATGTATTTTTTTGTTTGTTAACATATTTACTTAGGTTACGATATTATTTATACTTAAGATTTGTTGTAAGAAGTTTGTTGCCGAATTAAAACTAGAATGCCTCTTGCATAACTACCGCTGGTGTTGGTGTTACTTTTGTACTTGAAATAATCGTATAACTTTCTTTCGTCTGTGGAAATGAGCGACGAAATGTTTTATTTCTAATAGGAATATTATTTATTGCGTGCGATCTAACTAGACGTACAAAAGGCAACCCTTCACCTATATTGACATAATACTATTGTATTGCCCTAATTTTACTAAATTGACAAACAAAAAAAAATTTAAAACCAATATTTTAAAATGAAATATTAACGTTTAAAATGTAGCAAAAATATTTACCCTCGGCGTTGTTCATAAAATACTTCTATAACAATAAATATCTCGCAGCTCATTTTTTTTTTAAATTGTCGCTACCTATTCTCTCTTGTAACATTTGATATTTTTGTGAATATGGGTGTGCCATTTTACGGTATTAGTTAAAATTGTCCTCTTGATTTGGTTCAAAGACGCTATGACAAATGTTCACGATTCCAAGCTCACGGGCCTTAAGTTTAAGGCTTGTATAACGGATTGTGTTTTAAGGAATTGTTCGAAATGATGTCCATAGCCAACTTTTGTTCACACACCACTCGCCATCAACAGGGAGTTTATCCTTAATCGCTGAAACCTAAATTATCGCGTACAGCGCAGTTTCTTCCCGCGTACGCTCAGGTTGTGGAATGAGCTTCCTGTTGAGATTTTGCACAGATTACAGTATGGGGTTTTTAAAAAAAATGTGTTAAGGTTTTTTCAAGGTCACAACGTGCCCGTGACATCTCTAGTGTTGCAAGCGTCCATAGAATATAGTGACTGTTTTCCATCAGACTAGCTGTATACTTATTTACCACCTTCGTGGTATAAAAATCCAATAAAAAAGGTTTCATTAATCATCATCTAATGATGATTCATATCAGTCGATAATTGTTCACTACTGAACATAGACCTCCTCCTTAGGGGGGTTGTGCCAGTAGTTACCACGCTTGGAAGGCGGGTTGGCAGGTAGAAAAAGTGTGGTCACAACCATGAGTATACACAGAGAGGGTCAATGAATACGATCAACGGAAAAAAGAATTATTTACTTTCAACTCTAAACGGTCGAACTATCCTGGTTCTCCGAGTGCTTTTTCATGCTTCGTTTAAAGGTTCCGAGTTTATAGGATGATGGGAATACGTCACGGGAAAGGCCATTCGCAAGTTTATTTGTACGCGAGTGCGGACGGTTTACAGTGTATGAATGTAGTTGCTGGCCTATTCTCGTTATAGGCAACGGTTACCCCCCTTTGGAATTTAGGGTTTACTAATAAAACTATGGAACTCTTGCACCTGTCAAATGGTACATCCTTAATCACAAAACTGTCAACTTAAAGCCATCTTAAAATAAAAATATTAGCAACTGTGTTACATAATCAAGGCCCTGGTTACGCGGAGGAAACGGAAGGCATCACACTAACTTTTAATAACGAAACAGGCCGCGTCAGCTGTCGTCGGAAAACATCGCTCGAAAAGGCAAAATAAATATAAATCGATAAAATTTAATCCGCCTTTTCTGATGGTGCAATTAGTTTTTATTATTATTATTTTTTTTTTATGAAAAATGAATTCGGTATTCGCGACACTTACCATCGAGTTTGTTGTTTATGCGTGCGGCTGCTCCATGATAATATTTCTATTTGCGGGTCGACTGTCAATGGAAATTCAAAATAATAAATTAAGCGATTTTGTACAAGATCTCTCGAATATGTCAGTCGATGAATTTACTTCACATTTTATCTATATAACTGATAGTCTGTATTTGACTAAACCTATAATAACCGCAACGGTTATATGGGGGTTTAATTTGGCATTCATTTATTTAATTTACTTAGACATTACATTACTTATACTTTTACATTTATAATTTTAGTAAGGATAAACCGGTTAATAACCAAATTAATTTACAATTCTTGTACTTATTTTGAATGACATTTGTTAAGAAAGCTCTTTTGAAGAATGTTTTAAGATATTTATATCATAAAAACTATGAATAAAAATGTTCTTGAATCCATAACTTATATTAGTCTACATGTGGTTATTCGTAAATTATGGTTTTCATTGAATATATTAAACTATTTTAAATACAAATTGCCGTTTATTCATAGAATATTTATAAAACACGTACACAAGTTACGAATTATCATGTGTAGACTGACCGATCTCGTTATCTATGAATTGTTTTATTATAACTATATATTGTCATAGTACGCCAGATACTGGCCACTTTCGTAACGATTAGGGGAATAAATAGGTGTCTCTACAGACTTCACGGTACAATGTTTATTAAATTAAATAATTCGTTACCATAAAATATTTATTTTTAAGATATAATCAGAAATATTAGAAGGAACTGGTATAGGTTCATGTAAATAATAGATTAAATATGTTAATGTTAGTTTATTTTGTTTAAAAATTGAGCATATTTCCTATGGGGGTTTCATACAAGTTCTAAACTTATTGCTTTCTATAACTTTCGAATGCTCGACGCACACACTAATCGAATACCAACCAACTTACATGCAGAGTCGTGTCTTTAAGCTATGAGTAAACTATAATGTTGTAAATAACTGAATTTATTTATTGAATCGTTAAAAGTTTGAAACGAATTCCTTTCAACATCTAATTGTCTATCACTAAATGAATGAACCCCATTCTAGAGCTTAGTTGTCACAAAATGTTTTGAAGAAACTATTTTTTACATATGATAATTAAATGTAACGACAATTCTTAGTGTATATATATTTAGTAATGGACAATGTTGTTGAACTTGTATATTTTACTAACGAACGATTAATGAATTTTTTTAATATCCATACTTATTTAATATGTTTACCACTGAACTCAAAATTACTCACAGCTTGATGACATCCATTTATATTACTTATTTAAATCAATTGTAAGATCAGTTTTTTTTTTAAATAGTATGAGGTTGTATGTAAATACATTAGAACATTAGTACAGGATCACTTTACTGCACGCAAAATAATTTTATCTGTAGTTGTATATATTCGTGGTATTAATTGTAAATACATAAAAAATATAATTAATACGGCACTCTCAGGTTGATATGCAATAATCTGCCGTTTATTATTAGATTCATAATAATATAGTGTTACATAATAACAGGTACGTACCTACATATTTGACGTTTTTACTCCTCCAACCGAGTAATGTCCTCTTGAATCTAGTAGCACATTTTTTTACTTAACCGACGTTCACTGCGCTAGCACTGAATTAATACTCAGCTATAATACATTCTGGTCCACATGTACTTTCATGTTAAAAAAAGTTTAGAAATCACGCCTGCATGTCTTCCCTAATTAATTTAATGTGGTCAATGATGAAATGTAAAAATATTTTGGATTTGATGTGCACTGAAATTATTAGACAAGCAATCATATAAAATGCCATGTTAATTTATATGTATCTTATAGTTCTTATTACGCACAAAATATGAACTTTGTTTAAACATCACAATTGGACAGTCATAATTACCTTGTTACTGTGATTTGTTTAATTTATATAAAAATTGTTTATTACTTAGGAATAATTTTGTATTTGAGATTCCAATTGCAGGGAATAAAATTCACTTGGATTTGTACATAATGTTTCATATATGAAATTTCTTAAGTTAAAAAAGATATATATTTTCTTATAAAGTGATGTATGTACTTTTCTAAAATTGTAGTAATTAATAAATAATGATTTTTTTGTATTTTATAAAGAAGTCATGTTATTTAGATATCGTGCTATAAGCGTATGAGTTATAGTGTTTAATTTACATATTGAGCGTTTATAAAAATGTATGAAATTGCATTTTTTAGTATATTGTACACGATGGCGGTGCGAGTGTATTGTTGACATATTTATGTGAGGCGGTTACAAGTATCTATCAATCATCCTTGTAGACACTAGCGCCAACTAGTGGCACTACTATTTGAAATGCATTGTGGTAATGGAGGTTACTCGAACCGTACACATACATATGTTATCTGACACAATTTTCTTTTCGAAAATAGAAACCGGCTTATACATGGATGGTTCCGTTAACTCTCAGTGTTTGTTGGTTGTGGTATTTTAATTACATAATGAGTACATCGTTGATAAAAAGTGTATTGTATCATTAGATTAACTTTACGTGCCACAGTCGCAGAAAGTTAAATGTTATAGATAATGCCATGGCTGAGCGACTCGTACCAGTCATTACTTTAAGGAGAATTATTAATACTAAATACACTACTATTTATATTTTAGTCAGATATAATCAGTTAATTAGATAAGAGATTAACATCTTATACCATTACCCGTATAAGTATTACAATAAAAAACTTTATTTCCATTTGTGTAAAATTAGATTGTTAGATATTATTGCTAAGTGTAAGTTGTACAAACTACTTATGTACAGATTGTAATATAAGATGATAATGTCGGTGCGGCGTTGTTGTGTAACGGTTGGATAATAAAGTTGAAACGCGGGTCTTGTAAATAGTGTACAAGTGATCTTGTAATATAAGAGTGTTTTCAACGTGCACATAGTCGCCTCCATTCATTAATAAATTTTTTAGATCAATTAATCTTTCCTTTTAATTTCTCTGTCTATTTTGTGTACCTGTCTGTTACGTCTTGAATTTGTACGCTTGTTCATTTTGTTCCCCTTTTTTTTTTTTGTTTCGTTTGATTCAGTCGAAGTCACTAAACTACAAGTATGTCAATTAATCTACACGTAATGCATCTTTTTTTTTTCTAAATACTGTATAAATGTTAAAATTTAATGTAAAATTTATTATGATAATGAAATTACTCTTATTTATTAAATAAAATATAAAATATAGATTTGAAATTTATCAAAACAATTTGATGCGTACATATTATTATAGAAAAAGTATTATTTTATATATGTTTTCTATAGTTACCGTATTAAGCAAATACGGGTACAGATAATAAAAAATAACTGAATCCCTATATACTACAGGTATTGAACTTACAGATGTAACTGTTGTGATTAACATGGTGACAGACTATGTAAAATTTATTACAAATGAAGGCAAGAAGTAAAGTTTTCTAATAATATCCCTCCATTAGGACCTCCTTCCTATACATCCTCCTCCATAGTATCAACAGACATAATTCTTGGTGTCCTCTTTGATCTGTCGCAAGTCTCCTGCTAACGCAAAGAGGGATTTTATCTTCTGTGGACAAAGAGAACCCATCCGCTATTTGACCAACTGAATGAAGTGTTACTTAGTACCACTGAGTATCCAGTCGACTTGAACATAGATTTACTGCTGCATTTATATTGATAATTTGTATTGAAAATCTTGTTACGCTTCTAGCGGATCATTTTCGAAATTCGAATATGCATACAAACTTAGATGAAACTTAAATAAATAGTTTTTACAACACTAAGCATCAATATGGAATTGATTGATGCTTTTTCTTCTTATTTTTTCTGTACCACTTAGATCGACTAGAACTGAGAGGACTTTAAAATTATAGTAATAATGTAAAATATTATAACTGTATTACATTACATACTGGCAGTCGTATGGCTGTTTGTGTTGGTCTGTGCATTTTCTATCTAAAGGTAATATTTTATATCCAACTTGGAATAGCAAACTAACATCTGACCACATGAAAAATGGTAATCCTGGCCTATAGATATGAACAGTAATAAATATAATTTATGGCTATTATTAGGTCTGATGGCTACCTAGTTGTACTATATATTTTAGGACCAGATGGCTCTGTTTGAATAAAGAAGTAAACAAATAAGTTATGCTAATAAGTTATTAAGACCGGGATTTGCTATGGCGGAGGTGTACATTCAGCAACGGAAACGACATTGGAAAAAAAATTTAATTAGACTTTGTTGGAGAAATGCATATGTTATGCTTTGGCACAGGATATATATATATATATATATATATATATATATATATATATATATATATATATATATAATCGATTGGTAAGAGGAAATTAAAATTTAGCCAAATATTTATAGATAGAATAGTTTGAAGGATAAACAAACTGAAGTGGCAATGGGCTAGTCACAGAGCGTCTTGAGAGGCGACTTCGTATGGGCAAACGTAATGTAGGACGACCCACCTACTACATTGGAGTAACGACCTCAAATACATTGTAGGGAGTTAATGTATGCAGGTGGCTCAGGACCGTTCTTTATGGCAGTCTATGGGGAAGACCTGTGTTCAGCAGTGGACGGATAGTGGCTGAAATGATGATGAAACTAGGTTAGCATATGTAGTCGTTGAATCTATTTATGAATATGTTTGGATAGGCATAGGTGCATGTAAAAGGCTGGAAGAGGAGGAAAGTCCGGTGAGCTCCCCTCGGTACTCACCCTAGAACGCGAGTGAAGCTTGGAAAAGACATCTCTGTAAGTACATATGCGCTTTTTTAAGGAGCCTGCCTTTTTCCCTGGAAAATGAGCTTAAATACGCCAGTATTTATAGGGTTTCTATTATGAATTTAGTATGAGAATTTGGGGAGCCTTCGGAGAATTACGCCAAATTCTCTAATATACAGTACCTCAAAGTTTGAAGATAAAGGTTTTTAATAAGTGCATGTTGCCAATGATGACCTATGGAACCGAAACATGTTTGACATAGCCCGAAAGATAAGTAAACTAAAGTGGCAGTGGACTGTTCACATAACTCGAAAAACTGACGCTCGATGGGAAATAATTAGATGTAGTCTGAAAGCAAGCTTACTCGTAGATTGTACTCGTATTGAATACTAGATAATTGACCTATTTAAAATACCTATTTTCAAAGTAATTATTTGTTTTAGTTGAACTTAAATTTCATGATGTTAAAATTTAAAATACATTTAAATAAAAAAAATCATGACTCCAGTTGATAAATTTAAAAACAATAAGTTAATAGTCAAAACATTTTTTTGGTTTTTTTTGTCGTGTAACATAAAATAGTTTTTTTTTGTAGTTTTGTTATGTGTGTCTAATAATGCAAATACAAATAAAAATTATATCTATCTATTTACATGTATACCTACATAAAAAACACCTATATCAAAAAATGTATTACTCATGATTATAATGTTTGTTGTGTAGGAATCGAACTCGTAACTATAGGAAGATAATGCAATGTTCTTAAAGCAACGGTGACCCCGCCTGCGCTATCGGTATATGCTGGTGAGCCACTAGTGAGTGGTGATAAGTAAGGATGTAATATAAGTATGTAAGGATGTGATTTTGCTCACCTAGATCATGCGTTAAACTAAATATTAAACTGTAGTTAGATAGGTATTATCAGCTTACATACGTATTTTAACTGATTATCTACAATGATTTAAGTAATATATATTGTTATCTAATCAATTTTATCGCTGATGCTTAGAGCATTGTAGAAGAATAATGCCGAATTTGTATCTATTAGGGTTTCGATATGCACAAAGATCGAGGTTACCTTATCAGCCCAATAACGTCTCATTACTACTCACCAGAATCACAAAAAAAATATTTATTTAATTTTTAAGCATTGAATTTTTCTGTCATTGTTTTCATGATGACTGGAGGAATGCCAATGATGGTTTTTGGTTGTCTTTTGTGTCAAATTTAAGTATATAGCTATGCTTTTTTTCTAATAATATCTGTAATTTTATTTTAAAACGATTCACTTGCTAACAATAACCAGACGAAAAAATGTTTTTCTAAAAAAATAATTATTTAAACCAATAAACAGGGCCGGATTATCTATTAGGCAGTGTAGGCAACTGTCTAGGGTCCCTCATTGGTTGAGAGAAAAAATTTTACGTAAGTTTCTTTAAGTGTTCAGTGACATTTCAAGATTTATATCTAACAAACTCTTACTGAAATTATAATTGCATTGTTTATTTTTTATTACATCATCGTATTCCAATATATTGTGCAACGTAATTCAAATTATTATATGTATGGTTAATACGGCCCTTTCATTGAATGTTTCTTCTACATATATGTATATAACCATATAATATATATATATATATATATATATATATATATATATATATATATATATATATATATATATATATATATATATATATATATATATATATATATTAAATAAATATATATATATATATATATATATATATATATAATGATTTAACAGTTATATTTTTGTTGATGTAATGTTTGGCAGCTGTAATATTCGCTAGAGTGACTGTGTAAATCAATAAAAAATGAGGGGTTGGCAGTGCTTATATATATTTTGTTTCTGTTGTTATCCGATATATTTGTTAATTTGTGAAATAACTAGATAACTAATTTTGTTAGGTCATTTTTTATTAATGATAAATTTTTCTATTCTTATAGTAGTCAAAACGAATCTCAGGCATTTGTGTCATTCTTTCTATGACCGCTATTCTTACATCAACTTGGTAGCATATAGGTACTTATAAAAAGAAGGTACTACTAAATTGTCCACATGTTTAAGTATACGACCCAAGAGAATGCAGAAAGTTAGATAGCACGATATATAATCAGTTTTTTTTTTGTACTTAAGACAATTAGAAAATTCTCTTAATTTTGGCTTGTCTTTTTAAAATAAAATAAACAGATAATATAAAATTTTTCGTCAATATAGTTTAATTAAAAACAACAATATAGGTATATATTATTACGCATATTTCTACTATTTTGTCTGTTCCCTTTTTAATTTACGAAATTCTATAAAAAATAAATGACATTTAAAGATTATTTTTATTGTTTATCATAAATGAATCTTTGCATAAATGCCAAATAAAAAAACAAAGTTAAAGAACATAATATAGGTGCTTATAACAATTTTCACAATTAAAGATAACACAAGTCAGTTAGCAGTAATCTAAATGACAAATATAGTTACTAACAATAGATATGAAGATATTGTCCGATAAATCACCGGTATTGTGACATGTGCGCTGGACTGCAGACTAATATTAAATTATTTTTAAGTGCAAGGTTTTTGTGTTGTAATGGAAACTAGTGCCAGTTATTTTGAAAGGCGCTATGGGGTCCCGAAAAAGCAACGCCTTGTAATTGTAAGTAGAAAAAATTATAAAGCCTACTAGACCATAAACACAGTATGACCACAGTATTAAGAATTATTTTTCATACAGCAGTTTCACGAGGATATCTATATAGGGCCACTTTTGAAGGGTGGTGAGGATGGAGAGGTACCGAGCTGTCATACATTCACTTGGTACCTGCTAAAGTTTTTGATTAATTTGGGTTTGCTGATCTAAGAATCTATGACAAATAGACAAAGAAGATGGCAGTTGTCAATATTTTTAATTTTATAAAAAGTTTAAGATAATTTTATGCAAATTTAGTTAAGTAGTCAAGTTGTCATCACATTTATTATCAACCAACTTCAATGAGATAAAATTAAAACTAAATGTAGGTAATTTGGTTTTAATCTCCTCCTATTAAAGAAGAATTAATTTGACAAGACGGTCTTACTTGATTATATAGGACCAAAGCAGTCAAACTATATGAAACTTGACTTAAGTTATCAAATTGGACCAAACTTGGTCTAACTTGATCAAAGTTGGCCAACCTTGACTAAAC